TGCTTCTCCGATTGCTCAAGACATATCTTTTCAACCGAAAAAGAAAAAGAGGATCATTTCGTTCTATTTTTAGTAAAATAGTGAAAAAGATTCCATTAGTAATGAAAAAGGGGGTAGAGGGGATCCGTATATGTTGTTCAGGTCGATTAGAAGGTGCAGAAATTGCTAGAACTGAATGCGGAAAGTATGGAAAAACATCTTGTAATGTATTACACCAGAAAATGGATTATGCTTCCGCGGAAGTATCTACTCGTTACGGAATCGTGGGTGTCAAAGTGTGGATTTCTTATAGTCAAAAAGAAAAAGGACGTGCTATATCCGAAACAAGAAAAATATAGTAAATCAAGTAAGAAAGATGTAGTAGAGGTTGCAAACCGGACGGTACACAACTTGGATTGCTCGTGTGTCCACGGGACAAATCCCATTTGAAATGGATGGTGTGAGTTTGTCAAATGCTCGACAAGCCCAACGTCTTAAGTGGTCGATGGAAAGAGATAAGGAAATAAATACGGCTCAAGACGAAGAAATAGCCCGGCAGAAGGCCGATCTTCGTTCTAAGATAGAGCCTCTTCTCATCATGGAGAGGGCCCGTCGTGACCTTTTGGCCAAATTTCCTCCCGAAGCCAGCGAGCAGTACGAGCTCGACCGGGAAAAACAAAGAAAAAGATTCGAAGGGGGGCGGGCGATAGCTCCTTTTAATCTTTTTCTTTGTTTTTAGGAGTTGGCAGGCTCCCGACCCGCAGATGTAGGGATGAGTTGTCACCCGAACTGCGTTACCAAAGCGACTCCTCTTGTCGGAAGATAGGAAAGATTCTTTTTCTGCCAGTTCGAGCCCGGCGAGTCGCTCCTTTCTCGTGTGGGCAGTCTTCAATGCGAGTTAAGCGTGGAATGTCGCCTAAAATGAAGTGACTCATGGGTGTGGGGCACAATCGTGTTTACAAGGAAGTAGTGCTTTTTTCTATTGTGTTATTCTATTGGTATTCTCTATCCCAGTGGCAACGAAAGCGGACTTTGAGTTGGTGCTACCTAAGGTGTCGCAAATGAGCTTCAGCGGATCCATCTTATAGCAAGCCAGTCACAGTTCCGGTCAGCTCAGTCACCTTCTCCTATTAAGCTTTCAGGCAAGTAGGCCACTATATATTATGTCATAATAGAAGAAAACTAATAGCTTTGAAACTCTCACGTAGTTCTGGTTGAATCAGTTTCCTTTGGTATATAGGATCAAGGCAGATTAAAGGAAGGAATTGATAGAGTCAGATTCATCTGCAGCTCCTTACTTATTCAAGTAAGTGAATAGGAATTACCTTTAATTTAATCAGTCTATTACTTCTGAGTAAGGCACTCTCCTAAAAAAAAAGTAAACAAGAGTTAACAGCAGGCACAATAGAAAGGCAGTTGGAAGCAGGCGATAGGCTTAGATCAGATGCAAGCAAGGAAAGCAGCCCATTAGAGGAAAGGAAAGGACGAAGAACATTGAAGTTGATTGCCACCTAGTTCGTGAGAAAAAAAGTGTCTGCAAGTGAAATATCTTGGATTGAGAGTCTGTAGTTGACTTTTGTTCTTCCTTTGTAGTTGCAGGTGGTTTGTTTTGCACTTAGGGATAGTCTTAGGTGGAGAAGTCTGATGTCTTTGTGTAAAGAATGATTTGGAAAGTTTCATTTTAATTGCTTATTCATCATGCAAGAATATTTCAGGTTGAGCTACATGATTCCAATTGCTAGCAATGAAACGTCTAATAGATGCAATTGTAGGAATCTCACCAACAATATACATTACCATTGATGTAACCCATTTGCTAGACATAGCCTCCAAATCCTCCTTTTGAAGTTGTGCAATCTTCCCCCCTTCCTTGACCATGGGGGCAACAAAGTCCAGAGAAGTACCTTTAGCAGCAAGACGAGACCCAGCAAAGAGACCAGCCCATGGATCAGAAGGCAAAGTTTCATTTGTTCCCTACGTCTCCAATCTCCTATTCACCATTCTAGTGTTCTGTGCTTCATGAACAGGAACAATAGGGGTATTGTTGGTCTGTGTACCCACATTAGCAAGAGCCCTAGTAATATCATCATTCAACGCTTGCATCCTTGTTGTGATAGAGCCGTTAGACCCATCCCCAGCCCCAGCTCCATTTGTTTTCTCAGAAATTGGAACAGAATTAACTGTTCCATTGGTCATTGTTCCTCCAGTTTCCAACTCTCCCATAGATAACCCAAGGGCTCGATTCAAAGCTAAAATGGGATTATGGACACTTATTGGAACCATACCTGCACTTGGATAGACCAAAGAAGAGTGCATCAATGGTTCATAAGGCACTTCAGGGCTTGGGGTTGTTGGTGCTTCCATTGTTCGATTCCTACCATTATGTCTTTCCATAGTCTGATTAACACTAGATTGAGAATTGTGAGCTTTTTTCTACAGTCTTCACCCAGGATCCACCCCTTAGACAAAGAGCATTCTGGTCAAAGCTAGCCTCAAAGCAACTTTGGTCGCTCTCTTGTCAGGAGCTAAGAGCGTCTCAATCTCTTGTTTTTACAAGAGTCGTAGGACATTAGTAAGATAGGGTATCTAGTTCATTCAAATGAGTTTGAACTCAATATCCATCGAAGCAATAACAAGAATCTTTCTAGTAGACCCTCTTTCACAATCCCTGGAGAGATAGTTCACGAATAGACCGAGGGATAAGTAATTCGACTCATTCACATCCAGATCATGAATGTTTGGAATCTATATTATGCAAGGAGACATTGCTTGGTCCTCTATTGTTTCTGGTGCTCAACTTACTGCTAAAGGTAGGCCTCTTCATTTTGTCTCCCCTGTTTTAAGAGATGGTAAGCCACATGCTAGTTTATTGAAGAATGAATTGGATTCAGCTGCTATGCCATGGATGAATTCTATTGTGCTTTATGTGGTTGGTGTTTTTCCTACTATTACTAAATATGCACCGTTATATTGCTCGTGATTGGAACTTTGTGAGTAAACCTACTGTGTTTTATCATGATGATGGCTACTTCCTGGTGAAGTTGAATTCTATGGAGGATAGGGAAGGGAACCAACACTCTTGTCATAAATAATTTAAGCCCATAGCTTAATTTCAATTCGGAACATTTCGAGTATTGGGTATGTTCGGGTCAATTTCGGGTATCGGGTTTGTTTGGGTCAAACAATTCGGGTCAATTTCGGGTCGGGTCAATTCGGGTGTCGGGTCAGGATCGAGTCAACTCTATTTTCGGGTCGGGTATGGGTCAGGTCGGGTCAATTTTGGGTCATTGAATTATATTTGGGTTAATTTCGGGTCATGGGTCGGGTCATTCGGGTCGAGTCATCGGATCTGGATCAGAATTGCCAGATCTAAATATAAATAAGGTTAAAGTCAAAATGTTAACTAATACAAGTACTTGTAATAATTTCGTAAATAAACAAAGGAAACATAGAAGTACAATTTGTCAATCGAGCCTTTTTTTATGCAATTTAAAGGAGTTTTTTAAGAAGTGTTTTTTTTTTCCGAGTATGATATCTTAGGTAAATTTAATTTTCTCCATCAATAATATAATATTAAAAGCGAATCTAACATGACACTTGTCATGTTCTGATTAAAAGTTTTCCCGCCACTTTTACCTTTTTTTTTTTAAATTACAAATTTTCATGAGTATTAATTTATATATCCCATTATTATTTAACTTTTAATTTGACAACTAAATACGAACGTATTCAATGAGAATATTTTAACATATCTTTTATATATTGTATAATAGATATTTAATAAACAAACATATATTACGTATAAGTTAATATATTATAATAATGTACTCCTATATTCCGTATCATTCTATGTCATTTTTTTTTTCCTACAATTAGGATTAACACTTTAGCCTTTATTGCATATTGTTGATTTATTTATAATAATAACACTACAATTTTATTTATATTTTTTTTAAAACAATAATAACACTACAATTCAATAACTATAAATATGTATATATATATATATAAAAAAATTGATTATTAATTGTGACAAAAAATTAGTCAATTAAATTTGTATAAAACATTTTTCCGATCAAATTAAGTATGCTATAAAATATTGTGCCGGTTAAAATATGTCATTAAAATAGGGACATATATAAGTACATTGCATGGGTTATAACTAACATAAAATTTCATTCTTATATAAAACCCTATAATTGTTTCAAAAAAAAAAGTATAAAACCCTATAATCATTAAAATTGCTTGTTTTTTTTAAAAAAAAAATGTTTAATGATCAATAATTTTTGATATCATTATAATATGAAATTTAAGTTAGTTTTTTTTTTTTTTGAAAAGAAGTTCAAGTATTTGTTTCAATTAAAAAAATATTTTTTTTAAAAAAAATTATTATTAAATTGATATTGTAGTTCATAATTAGGTTATGCACGATATTTAAATTAGTTACAAATATTTGGCCATATAGAATCTTGATAAATAAGGAAGAATTTTGCTAGTGTGATAAAAATGTAAATATTATGTCACTGACTTGACATATATTTGATGAATCCCCCTAATTTTCCTATATCAAGACAACTGTCAAATACTTCGTATTCTACTCGTAAAAGAATGGCGGTGAACCAAATAAATTCTATAATTCAGCCTTAATAATCGAGATTCGGGTAATTGATTTACTTTTTTTACCAATCAAATCAAACTGAATTTTTGAGATTAAACATACTCCAATAGTCCAATTGCTTAAAATCTTGTTTCTTTTACCGTTTTACCCCTGATAGGCTGATACTTGAAGTATAAATTTGAAACCGAAATCTCTATTACAGTATCCACTCGAATGTAAATACTGGTACTTTAATGGACGTACTATAATACTATTTTTATGAATTTGATTTGATGAATATAATACTCCGTACTATTTTTATGTAAATACATACTGGTACGTCTAACCAAATGACCACTTAAATTCGACAATCGATGAACATAATACTATTTTTATGAATTTGATTTGATGTTATAAATTGTAGGTTTTGAGTAATGACGGATACAAGAGCGTGAAGCACAAGGTGGAGCTAAACAAGAACAAGGAAAGAGTGTCAATATGCTATTTTGTGTTTCCAGAGAATAACACTTTGATAAATAGCTCAAATTACAAGCCTTTCACTTACAATGAATTTCGAGCTCAAGTTCAGCAAGATTTAAAATTACATGGTTGGAAAATTGGTCTCCAAAACTTCAAGCTTCAACAACTTTCTTAGTTGCTTAGTTTAGATTTTAAGAACAATACTAATTCAGTGTATGTACTATTTTGAGCAATACCACATACTTAGCTTTAGCCAAGAAAACAATGTCTTATACTCTTATAGTCCTGTGTTACCAAAAGTAGTATTAGTATTCTTCTTTTTTGTTTGAGGAGATAATACTCCGTACTTCCGCAGTATTCATCTTACTTCCATCATTAGTTTTGTTATTTCCAGGTGAATATAATGCAAGTGATTACTTATAATAAATAAATGTAAATATAAATAATACGGAGTACTTTTGTTGTGTCATAAATACCTGTAACGCCTTGATTTTTGCACTATTTATATTTTGTGATTTATACGTAATAACAAACATAATTATAGATTTTTTTAGTCATATCAATGCATATTTTTTAAAATATCAATTTTTTATGATTTTTACGGATATAAAATTAAAACCAATTGAATGACCTGCATAAAAGTCAAAGTATTACAAGTACGAGGATTATATAACAGAAAAAGTATATGAGACAATGTTTGAATGGCAAAGGGATATAAAAAGTGATAATGAAATGAAATTAATGATTACATTGATGAATTGGGGGTACTAACTATTAAGGCATTAAATTGATTAATCTTTGTAAAGGGACTTCAACTATCGTAGCAACTAGCAATTACGTTTTTTTTTTTGTTTTTTTTTTTAAAATTTATTATTATTATTATTTAAATTAATATACTCTGTATTATCTTATTTAATCTTATCTGAACTATTATTATTATTATTTAAATTAATATACTCTGTATTATCTTATTTAATCTTATCTGAACTACCCTGATTGTCTAAATTTTATGAGGATCATGAATGTATTATGAGAGATGGTGTAAAAAGGTGGGTCATTGTAAGAAATTAAGTTGAAGCATAGTAAAAGAATTTTGCCAAAAAATAGAATAACTGAAAATGTTAAGAACGAGGGTGAAATTCGATCCCAAAATCTCTTGGAATCGAGAGGGAAGCTCCAACCATTTGAGCTTGGAGCTTCCCCTCACTCTCAGTGTTTAGAACATTATGAAACAACGGTAGTATACTTGTTTAAAAAATTACTTTAAGTTTAAAATCTTAAGATTTTGTTTTAGTCGAAATCCATCAAGAGCTAGTTACCTTAATTTTAAAATATGAAAAGTAGTTTTTTTAAAGCAACTAAAATTTGATAGTTTCGTTTTTTATATAGTACTATGTGCTCCATATACGACACTATAAAATTTAACATGGAGTATGGACGTTAGATTTTTTTTTATTTTTTTTTTATTTTTTTTGAAAAAGAAACAGAAACTTAATTAAAATGAAGTAGTTCACTTTTATAGTATTATAAATATTATTCTTCGTATACAAATTTCGCGCGAAACCGAATTTGTCCCCCATAAATTTGAATTATAAAAGATTTGACCTTCAATTCCTTTTTTACTCCCAATCCTTTTTTAGCCATTGAAATAAACTCTCGATACGATTTTTAAATCTCAACCAACACGGCAACACCTTAAAATTTACGGATTACTTTGTAACATTATAACTCAATTTTATAATTATTGCTTTGTTAAAACAGAGACTCCCATAATATGCACTTAATAGCCGTTTTTATATGTCGCCATTAACAACATTTTAAACCATATGAATAGGCTTGTCCTACTGTATAAAATCACTTCTTACTTGTATAATTCCTAGTATCTAATCTTCACCAATTTTGACAGAAAAGTTTACAACTATCAAACAAAAGTAACAAAAAGTTTCCTTCATCAACACATGTAACAATCTTAGCTCAAAAGAAATTCTCTCAAAAAAAAAAAAAAAAAAATTAAAAATTTGTGCTTGGGGCACAAGGACTAAAATTAATTATAGAATTTTATTTTTTAAAAAATAATACAGAATAAAATAAAAAAATAAATAAAATCCCTTGGGAAGCTGAGTCTGTTGTGGGTTAAGTTAGTGAATTCTCTCTCTCCTCTGCTGCTGACTGAATAGCCGTACCATCACTTCAATGGCGGACTCTGCTAACCACAGAAAGAGAAGGCGATTACTCTCTCAAAAAAAGCTTCTTTTAGGTGATCAAGTCGAGGTATTTTCCATTCTAAATTTTCTTTCTTTTTGTTTTATAGATTTTCATTCTCAATTCGGTTTTTTTGGATGAATTTTTGGTTATTTTTTGATTTTTATTTTCCTCCGTTTTTTGACACATTGGAGATAAATTATTGGGTTTTTAATGTTTTTTTGGATAATCCTTTTTGATAATCGAATACCCTTTTGTCTAATCTTTGATGGGTTTTCTCTGAATTTTGGTTTTTCTTTGGAATTTTATTTATTTATTTTTATTTTGATCAGGTTTTTATTTTTCGCGTGAAATTCTCATGCATTGCTTGGAATTGGGGTTTTTTGTTTGTGCGTTTTAATTAGCAATGTTGCATTGTTGATCAGAATTTTTTTGTTGGCAATTTGATTTTTACATGCATTGCCCAATTTGAGTTATATTATCAATTTTGGCTTAATCCAATTTGATTTATAATTTTATCTGATTTTACTGTTATTGAATTTGCAATATAAAACTAGGGTTTGTGGTATATTTTGTTTTTCTTTTTTAATTATCATGGGCTCATGGGATACTTTTAATTCTGCTTGTTCAGTGAATGCTGTTGTTTGATTAATCATTTCTGGGTTTTATTTTATGAATTCGATAGATATTTCAAATATTAACATTATATGATCCTGATTTTGTTGAAACTTTGAAAGTTAACGACAGTTTGCATGCTTGTTGTAATATAAATGTTGCTTAGGATAATGGATAGTTCTGTCATTCTGTCGACTGTATTTGTAGAAATCATGGTGTTTGTTCAGTGGAGAATTCAGACTGAGTTTATATGGATTTTATGTAATTTCGATTTGTATTTTTGGTTTGTCTGTCGATAATACAAGAAAGTAGTGGTATTGTTGATCATGGTGGGAGTTTGCTTGAATGTTCTTGTTAATTGCTTTGTCTGGTTCAGTTTTTAGCTTTGAAAGTAATTGTGTAACTAATGCAGGTTAGGAGTATAGAAGATGGATTCCAAGGATCGTGGCATGCTGGAGAAATCATTGGTTTTGAGGATGGATGGCGAGAAGTAAAATATCTACATCTTCTTCATGATAATGAGGTTGACTTTTTAACGGAAGCTGTGGAAGTTTCTAGTTCAATTGACCGAACCTCTACCACATCAAAAAAATGTGACCGAGGTAGGATTAGACCAATACCCCCCACATTTGGGGAATTGGCAAAAGAGAATCTGAACTATGGCCTTTGTGTTGATTGTTGGTACCACGACGCATGGTGGGAAGGTGTGGTTTTTGATTATAAACATGGTTCCAGTGAAAGGAAGATATTCTTTCCTGATTTAGGCGATGAAATAAGTAGTGATGTTACAAACTTACGATTAACTCATGACTGGGATGAGATTTCAGGTGAATGGAATTATCGAGGGAACTGGTTGTTTTTGGAGATCATTGAGGAGTATGAGAGGGATAGATTTATCCCTGTTTCCCTAAAGCAAATATGGTATGATATGAGAGGAAGAAAAGAATCTGGTGACATTGGGGAGTGGCCTTTTCCTGTGAAGGATAAGCTGGAAGACCTGGTAGCGCAGATCATTGATGAGAATTTAAGGGTAACTATAGATGCATTTCTGAAAGGGTGTATCTCTTCTGAAGCCATGTCAGAATTTCGTGAAGCCTTGTCTGGTGCTGTTGTTCCTTCTGCAGATATTAGCCTTCAAGATGTTGATTCGACAAAACAGAATGATGCTGCCTTTACAATGATTGGTGAATTGTGCAAAAATGCTGAACTGGCAAAGGATTTACAGGATTCTACCCCCATCAACAATCAAGTGGTTCCTGTACAACCCAAGGCTCTGTCAATTATATGTTCAGATCAGAACGGGCTTGATGTTAACATGAAGCCTTCTGCAGAGTCCCAATTTAGTAATAAATCTAAAAATGATGAGAAAAAACAGCTGCGGATAAAAATTAAGCGGAATTTGCAGCCTGATCATAGTGAAATGAACATCGAACCTGAGTGCTGCCCTCAATCTATGTATGATTATGCTCAACATGAAAGGCCGGGAAACAATTTGACTACAAAAGTCAGGGGCTATCTCAGTTTTTTGGGTTATAAAATGGAACAGGTTGATAAGCTGAAATCTGTACGTTACTCCTCTCCCGGAGGAGGAAGAACGTTCTATAATCTTCGCCAATGTATTGACTATGAGAAAAAACAGGCAGAGAATTCCTCCCTAGCAGTGGAAGATATTCGGAGTGGAAAGCTTTTATCTCCTGGTAGTCTGAAGTGTACTCCACCGCTTAAGGTATCAAAAACCAGTAAAAAAGGCAGTCAAAAAGGACGAAGAAAAGTGTTGAATCTTAATATTGAACCTAGATATTGCCCAGAAGCTGTACTCAAGTATGTGAGATCATTGAAGAAAAGATCATCGAAGACAAAGGACCCTTTAAGCAAGACTCGTAGTGAATTGCAGGATGAAGCTAGGGGGCATTTATCAGCTATTGGCTGGAGCTTTTGGCCTAAACTAAAGCAAGGAGTGGAGGAGTGGCGCTATGATTCCCCTACTTCTAATAAAACATATTATTCACTATTGTCTGCTTGTAAGGCGATTGTAAATGGTACAGAGTTGCTTAGCTCTGGTCCAATGGTAGATGTACAAAGTGAAAACTCCAAAGGGAACTCTGTTGAACTTTCATTATCTGATAAAGAGAACCACAGGCGAACCATCTCTCAAAGATGGGCCAAAATATTTCCTCGGGCTCTCAGGAAGTATAAGGCTGGGAAAGTCCAGAGGAGGAAGCAGAATGGTTTTGTGAACACAATGCCCTCTCTACTGGAAAGTGGAAGAGCAGAACAGGAAGTTGGAGATAATGGGTTTGCAAAGAGACGTTCTATCAGAAAATTGAGTACCAGTTTCTTATCCAAGGAAAAGAAAGCCTTGGGTAAAGTAAGGACCAGTTCGGATAGCTGTAACCCATCTCGGGTGCTGCGATCAAGCAAAAGAGTACAGCAGGCAGGGACTTGTAAATCATCAAAGGCCCCTCGGACAGTACTTTCATGGCTGATGGACAATGGTGTGGTGTTGGGAAGGGAAAAAGTCCAATACTATCGGCAAGGGGATGATAAGCCTATAGCTGCAGGAAGAGTTACTTATAATGGGATAAGCTGCAGTTGTTGCTCAAATATTTTTTCTCTTAGTGGCTTTGAAGCGCATGCTGGTGGCTACTCCCTCCGACCAGCTGCGAATATATATTTTACCAATGATGGGAAATCTTTGGCTGAACGTCAATTGAAGATGATGAGTCAAAAAATCAAGAACATACCTAGGGAACCACTGGAAAGGAGTAAAGGGAAACGACATAAAAGCTGGAATGACCACATCTGTTCACTTTGTCACTATGGTGGTAAATTACTTTTATGTGATCGATGTCCATCATCATTCCATAAAGAATGCCTTCATTTGCAGGTTGGCTGCCCCCTCCCTCTTATTTGGCTTTAATACTTCGTCATATCTCATCTTAATTCTAATTCTTATCTTTCTTTCCAGGACAAGGACATTCCTGAAGGTAATTGGTTCTGCCCATCATGCTGTTGTGGACTTTGTGGTGAGAGCTACTTTGATATGAATGCAGAAAGCTCTACTAACAAAAGCGTGCTATTTTGTCATCAATGCGAGCGGCAATGTAGGTTTTTCTGCTATCTTTCCTTTTCCTTTTATCATGTCTATCTCTATAGGCCATAGGTATATGAAAACACTTTGGTTATTGGTTTTCTGTATACCCTGCAGATCATGCTCACTGTGTAAGAGAAAGAGTGGAAGATAAAATGGATGTTCATCCTACGGAAAATTGGTTTTGCTGTAAAATGTGCGAAAAGGTACTTGTCATTCTGCAATTTCTGTTGAATTTGTGCACACACTTCGTAGTCATGCATAACACTTGCTGATTATTTAGATCAGTATGAATTTAATATTTGAGATGTTTTATCAAATCTTATCCATCCTCCCTGCAAAGGAAATGCAAAGAGAAAATAATAGAATTTTATTTAAGGGCTATCTTACAAAATATCATCCTCCCTGCAATGGAAATACAAAGAGAAAATAATATAATTTGATTTAAAGACTATCTTACAAAATATCCAACTCCACAAGAGCTCATTAATTAATAAACATGGAGTTATTCTTTGCTTAATGTGCTCCAGTTTTATATTTGAAAGGCTTTTGATTATTATTAAGATATTGGTAATTGCTGATCAAAAGACAATTTATTACCTTTTGTATTATGATTTCCGTGGATAGGTAATTGTGTATTCAGAATTCCTTTACAACGTGTTTGGATCTCAAAAGAATCTGAAGGAAAGGAGGAGAGTGATGGTTTCAATTTCTTATATATGGATTGGAAGATGAGAAGAATTCAATTGCCTTTCCTCATGAAAAATCCTTTAAAATCCGCCGTTGCTAAAAGACACTTTTGATATTTGTAAATAAGGTTTAATTTAATATGTGCACATACAGATTAAAACTTGCTTATATCGTCACTATGTTTTACTCTAGATCCTTCATTCCTTCTGATTTCTTTGTCCAGGTCCTCCTCCAAATTGTAATAGATAATTGTCTATAACTAGCTTAAAATTTAGTGTGTAGTGAGTAGAGCTAACAATGTAGGGGTGAGTGTGAAATAGATATAATCTTGGCTACTTACATATAGTAATGAAGTCTTAAATTTCTTTACTGTAGAGAATCATTCAATTTACTTGTGTGTAATTGTTGTTTGTGTAGTGAGTAGAGCTAACAATGTAGGGGTGAGTGTGAAATAGATATAATCTTTGCTACTTACATATAGTAATGAAGTCTTAAATTTCTTTACTGTAGAGAATCATTCCATTTACTTGTGTGTAATTGTTGTTTCATGAAGACCTTTGCCGCCTTGATTATCTTTTCTGGATTTGATCTGATTACATATTGAATTTTGTAGGTGCACTGGGGTCTCCAGCAGCTTCTTGGCAAACCCATTCTTGTTGGTCATAATAATTTAACATGGACATTGATCAAACCCATGAATTACCTGGCCTATGAGCATGATGATTGTGATGTTGCTGCCATTACAGAAAATTACAGCAAGCTTGGTGTCGCTCTTGAAGTGATGCATGAATGTTTTGAACCTGTGAAAGAACCTCGAACCAGGCGAGATCTTGTTGAAGATGTTATCTTCTGCAGGGGGTGAGTATCTTAGATCTTCTAGAATGAGTGAATGACTGCAAATGCAACTCTTGATTTATGCTTTCTCTTATCCATCCTGTTCTCATAACTCATATTACCCGTGTTTTTGGAATTCAGGTCTCCCCTCAATAGGCTGAACTTTAGAGGATTCTATACAGTGCTTCTGGAAAGAAATGATGAGTTGATTACTGTGGCAATTTTAAGGTATATACTGTTATTGATTCCCGATCGTGTATATACAGTTTCTTAGATTATTAATACTTGAGCCTAAAATCAGTTTTCACTTGTAAATGTGAAGGGTGTATGGTGACAAGGTGGCGGAAATTCCACTTATTGGTACCCGCTTTAAGCATCGCCGGCAGGGAATGTGTCGCATTGTTATGCAAGAACTTGAGAAGGTACTATGCCTCCTTGCATATGAATTTCTGCTCGTGTTATACATTAGATATTTTGTTAGATCTTGATTAAGTAACACATTTCATCAGGGGCATGTTTTGATCTAAACTTGAACCTCCCCCCTTCCTTTTTGTTTGTTTATTCGACATGAATATTGTGCGACTCTTTTTATTCCTGGGAAATCCTGTCATTTTATTTGGCCAAGACCCTGATGACAGGTTTCCAATGCAGCCTAATAATCAGATTGATGCATTTCAAAATTGTAACTAGTCATTTCTTACTCTTTTTGAAAAATCCAGAACCTAATCGAACTAGGAGTGAAGAGGCTGGTTCTTCCTGCCGCTGCAAGTGTGTTAAACACATGGACAACTGCATTTGGTTTTATTCCAATTTCCGATGATGAGAGACGTGATTTTCTGAGTTACAGCTTCTTGGATTTCCAAGACACAGTTATGTGCCAAAAACTTTTGAGAAAGCTTCCTTCACCTCTACTCCTCATGTCTAGGGATGTGTCTGGTAAGCATTTTTTTTTTTTTTTCATTTTGATTTCTGAATGATAAAATGATACAGATGAGTTGTCATTCAAATTTTATAATTATCTTTTGGGCTGCTGCAGGTGTCCATCATCAAACTCCGCGCAATGTAGAAGGTAACAGTGTTATTGATGATCCTGAAGGGAACAGTCCCATATCTGAAGTTTCCCAAGAAGACCAACTTGAAGGAGAATTAGCAAAGTATGTCCTTCCTTGCTTAATAGATCAATTGGAGATCTCTCCATCTAGACCTAATTATAAAATGGAAGTTGGGTGAAATATTTTTAGATCCGAGTCAACTAGAATGTACGATTTAAATATCATCGCTTTCATATATACCCCTTTTACCTGTGCAGAATTGTAATTATATCTTTATGATAAACCTGCCAGGGTGCACATACATGGATAGTAAAAGTTTGGCTAACATTGAACTTCATTGTCCTGAAACAACATCCAAAGAGAAACATCAGCAAAAATGAAAAATGATAAGCTATTCATCTTGCATATCATCGTCATGAGTATTCGGGTCATGGAGACCTTTCCTTATGGAGTGACTACTAAATTCTTAGTTAATTAGCATCATCACTACGAAATACTGTGAACCAGCTAGATACTGCTAAGATCCGCTGAACTGGTAAAGCTAGATTCAACTCTAAGATTAGTTAAATTTCAATGAAAGATAGAGACTACATCATGATCTCCCACCCCCACCCCCCACCCACCCCCAAACAAAAAAAAAAAAAAAACACCCTTTTGTATATATGAAATTTCCTAATTAGGTTCGACAAATTTTGTGTTTCTTACTTTCTTTGCTTCTGACGCCTGACTATTCTGTTTGTTAATTTTATTTTTTGATATGCCAGTGACCAGTATGAGGAATCAAATGGTGGTGATAATGGTCAAGACACCCCTGTTGCTATGGTAGAACTTAATTTTCCTTCTTTCGGATTTGTTAAACCTTTGTCCATGGAATGTTTTTACACAGTTTTGTGCTTACAGGTGACTGATCCAACCAATCTAGGAGGTGAATCATGCAACTCCGTGGAGTTTAAGGAGCAGAAGATTGAACGCGATAAATGTGAAGGAAATTTAAAGTTTTACACAAGAAAGAAGGCTGTTGAACTAAGATCGCCAGTTCCTCAAGCTAACTGCTCCAAGGTAGAAGTAAGTTGTAGATAGTTTGGACTTCCGGAGACTGCTAGTCCTCAAATGCTTGTGCCTTATACAGGTTTCAGTAAAACTCAGAGGCATAATCTGGTGAGAGTCAGTATTGTGATGCTGGGATTTTCCTATAAACCCAATTTTGTAACCTCTCTATGTAATAGGATAGTTTATCAAGGCGAAGCTGAATCAGAGGCGTTAGGGGTACCTTTTTTTTGGATAATTTCTTGTACAGCTTCTGTTTCTTTTTCTGACAAAATCCATGAGAGCTTATTTTGGTTAATCTTCTGTCTGTAAAATGCTCTTAGTGGAAATTAATACTACAGTGTAATTGGAATGCTATCTATTATATTTATTCATAATTCATCTCCATATTTTTTGCCCCTTGTTCAGCATCAAGCACCATCTTAGAGGACACACCCAGTTTTGGGCTGCCATTATCCAGCCTATCAGATTTGGCCTGTTCTTTTTTGCTCAATTGGGCAGTATTTTTTTTGGCTGCAGCCTTGCGCTACCGGCTATTCAGCTACCCTGTCCTTGATCAGGTTTAAATAAGTGATGTTTTCAGCATGCAGAGCAAGAAAAGTATGAAATTCCACATTTGTGGCTCATTGATATACAAAGGGGTCAAACACTAATCATGTCCTAAGCATGTAGGTGAAGGAAAGTAAAGAACATCTATAATTAAATCCTCCAAAATTACCCCCAAAAGTAATCCTTTACTTTCTTCAACAATCATGCAGCTGCTGATCCTCGGATCAAATATTGTGCCTAAGTTGAGACTCTTATTCTGCATACTAGTGCCGAATCTTCAAAAATTACATTGGATTGGATAAATCGGATGAATCACTTTGGCCCTATTTATTTACTAATTATCAACTCATAATTTTTTTTTAAACGCAAGTCGGGAAATTTTATTAATCACATCAAATCAAGATCCGCCAAGACTATGATACCTTGGAGGAAAGAGTCGTAAAATACAAACTCCGATCCACTAGGAGGGAGTAATCTCGCAGCGTAGTGCGCAACTACATTACCATTACGCTTAACATGACTAACACTAAAATTACTCCAGTTATTCCCGACTGCCTTAATGTCCTCAATGACGAGATCAACTCATAGATTTGGAATATAACATTTCGTAAAAAAAATTAAGTTTAAAAATTAAAAATTTAAGTAAAACAAAAATTTAGTAAAAATCAGTAATTTCAAGTAACTTTAGCAAATTAGTGGATTAAGAAATAAGTTTGAAATAGCTTTTATTGTCATTCACCAATTTAAAGGTTAAATATCACTTTTCCATTATGATATAATTACAATAAATTCCTTTAACATAGGCTGTAAGGAAAAGATTAGTTAGCATACATGGACAACTTTATAGTATAAAGGTTTTATTAATTTGATTTTTCATTAATTATAATTTCAATTTAGTACAGTAGCTATCTGATAAAGTGAACGAAAACTTATTAAAAAAATAAATTAAACCTAAAAATAAGGTAAATTAAGCAAAATTTTAGCAAAAAATAAGCTAAGTTTAATAGTAATAAAAAAAAAAACAATTAACTTAGCAAAATCAAATTTAATTCAACAAAAATAAGTTGAAAGAATATAGCCTAATCTAGCAAAAATAAGTTCGCCAAAAATAATTTCACAACAAATAAGCTATGTTCAACAAAAAATAGGCTCAAGAAAATAAAGTAGGATTCCCTTTGCCACACCTTTCACAAACAACTTAATTAGATATGACTAGTGAGTCAATTTTAAAAACTCTAACCCATTTGTTATCATCCAACCACGGATTTTTTTTAACAAACCAAATTCATACTAGTCAAATCTTGTGTGAACTCTTTAATTTACTTATAATCAAGAGTGAGGGATAGCTCAAGTGGTTAGAGCTCCCCTCTCGGTTCCAGGTGATTTTGGAATCGATTCTCATCACCCGTCCTTATGACTCACTAAACACCAAAAAAAAAAAAAAGATTTACTTATAATCAATTAGGGTGCATTCTACTCAACCTGTATCATAAAATTGCTCGAAGAATCCAAAATCAAGCTTTTTGTGACAACTAGAAAAGAAACAATCAAATAAGTGAACATAACATAACTTGATAAGCAAACATCTCTTGCAATCCTTCCTTGTTCCTCACGTGTACCTTTATATTGTGACATGCACAAACATTTTCTTCTATTCCTTCCTTCTCATTACACTCACTAATCACATAAATTCTCTCCATCCTTTTTTCCAAAGTATCTTTTTATGTTTTTTTCTTTTTCTTTTTCTTTCTATTTTCCAGCTCTTAAAAAGCTCTCTCCAAATCTCATTAACCAAGAAAAAGCCTCTTCAAATGGCTTTTTCTTCATCTTCATACTCTGTTTTTACCCTGTTTTTGTGTATAATTCTAACATTTACCCTGCATTTTAGACCAAATTCTTCAGCTTTATTAGTGAAATTAAGACACCACTATAGAAATCATCACAGATTACAAAACCCAGTTGTTCAAACAAATCAAACATATTCATGTAATCTTTTTGTAGGAAGTTGGGTTTATGATAGTTCTTACCCAATTTACCATTTTTCTAAATGTCCCTTAATTGACCCTGAATTTAATTGCAAATTATTTGGTCGACCTGATTCTAATTACCTCAAGTATCGTTGGCAACCTGCTTCTTGTACCCTCCCTAGGTACACTTATTACCTCGGTTCGTCCGAGGGAACTTCATTTGAACCAGTAATGTGACAACTAAATTCACACAGTCGGGTTTTTATATTATTGGGTGTTTTCGGGATTTCAGGTTCGATGGGGTAGAATTTTTGGAGCGGATGAGAGGAAGGACAGTGATGTTTGTAGGAGATTCATTAGGTAGAAATCAATGGGAGTCTTTGATTTGTATGATTTCATCTGCATTGCCAAGAAGATCTCCTACTCATATTATCAGAGGGGACCTACTCACCTCCTTCAAATTCTTGGTAAGCATTTTGGTTAAGAATTTTTTAATTATAATTTCTTGGAAATTTAGCTAATTAGGAAATTTTAATTATAATTAAAATGCAAAGTTTACACTAATAATACTTCCTACATTAGTTCCTTGTTATCCACTCGTATAAAGTGTTAAAACTACTCCGTAATTACAGTTTTTTTTTTTTTTTTGGGGATGCGAACTCCTATACAGTTTGTGGTCATACAATATCGTGTTTTTATGTATTAGACTATTAGGGCAAAAAAAGTTAATGTAAGGTTCAATAATTTCGTATATTACTATAGTTTGTAAAAAAAGACATTTTTATTAGATATTACATTGTATTTTCTATAAATTTGGAACAAAGTTCAAAAAATTTGTGAGCTCGGAGTCAAATTTGGTTCAAAAAATATCCTAGAAGGCTAAAATAGTTGGGGACAGCTTGAGTGTCTTTATGGATGGTTGTGATCATGTAAAGCACAATATTTTTAACCCTTTTTGACGTTATACTTGTATTAACAAATTTTCTTCATTTTGGGGCACTAAATGGGCCCACTAAAAATAGTGATAATCAATTTTATTGTACATGAATAATTAATGTGTCAAGGGAGAAAGATAATATTACTCCCTTCATTGAGTTTGTTTCATGGAATTATTACTTGGCAATAATTTGCCATCTACATTATTAATACCAATAATTCTAAATTTAAGTTCTTTGTGTATTTTAAGTTTGCCTCAAATATAGAGGGAGTATTAAGTAACACCGAATGTTCTTGTGTGGATCGAGTTCTTAGTAATTATTGCAGGTTCATATCTAGATTACTTTGTTATATTTTTTTAGTGATTGGTTTTAAAAAATCATGCCAAGATTGCTATATACTTCGTATAATTTTATGTATTCGGCTTAAATAATGTTTATTTACAAGGGATGATTTATAGGATACTGTACATTAAAAGACTAATTTGTTCAAAAGATAAGTCCGATGCCACTATAATTTTGTATGTAGGTTTAATTTATATGAGATTATTATGTGATTCTAAACAATAATGTTTAATTTGGAAGATTATTGTAATAAAATATTTTTGGAATTGTTAAAAATGCTTAAACTTTGTGCTTTGAGCCAGCATGGAGTGTTGGTGTAACATGTTTTCCTAGGTTAACGATGTATTCCCATAACGGCCATAAGTCAAACATTAATGTGATAAATCTATCTAATCTTCCACTATTAATTTTTGTTTATTTGGTCCTGTTCAATTTAAGGAGACAATAATATTGAAATAAAGTAGAATTAATGTGAAAAGATACTTATATTATGGTTTATGATGCAGGAATATGGCGTGACAATATCATATTATAAAGCAACATATCTAGTGGACATAGATATAGTTCAAGGCAAGAGAATTCTGAAGCTTGATGAGATTTCAGGCAATGGAAATGCTTGGCTAGATGTTGATGTGCTCATTTTTAACACTGGTCATTGGTGGACTCACACAGGATCTCTTCAAGGGTCAGTCTCAATGCATTTGTTTAATATAAAGCGATTAATTTCCGAATTATATTTTAAAAGGTCTAACCAATTTCGGAATCCATCAAGTTTCATTCTATGTAACGTCTTCGTCCTAAATTTCAAAGCATTGTGGTAAAATGCTAGATGCTTCATGAAGTATCTCACTCGCACTCGCCAATTCTTGCAATGTGGCTTACGCGCGCATAATACACTCATTGGTGGGGAGCATCATTGTAGGTATCCCTAGATCATCAGCCAAGAGCACTGTGTAGATTTTGAAAAATGCCCTCCACAATGTGAACAATCTATGGTTTGTTAGTGTACAACTAAGTTGTCAGTATTGGTGTGTTTTTTCGGAGGGAAGACAACTAATAGTACAAATAATAAGTTGAATAATTATATACTTGTATAGTTTATGAATGTGAACATGTTATGGTGGCAGATGGGACTATATGGAATCAGGAGGGATGATGTATCAGGATATGGATCGGTTGACAGCCTTAGAACAAGGCTTGACGACGTGGGCTAGATGGGTCGACACCAATGTGGATAGTACACGAACCCGGGTTTTCTTTCAATCCGTCTCTCCGACCCATTATAAGTAATTTCTCCTCAATCTCTCTGTTTTTCCCACATGAACCTTGAAAAAATTATCATATGCCAAATGACTGTTTTTTGAATGTATGTGGCAGCCCAACAGAATTGAGTTCTGGAGCACTGGCAATGGCGAAAAACTGCTACGGGGAGAAGTCTCCGGCTAATGGAATGGTGTATGCCACTGACAGGTATCCAGCAGATGATGCAGATCAAATGAGAGTGATAGATTCAGTGCTTAGCGAAATGAGCATCCCTGTGTATCTGCTTGACATTACAATGCTGTCGGCTATGAGAAAAGATGCACACCCTTCCATATACAGCGGCGATCTCACCCCACAACAGAGAGCTAACCCTCAAAGATCAGCTGATTGTAGCCACTGGTGTCTCCCTGGCTTGCCTGATACTTGGAATCAAATATTTTACACTGCATTGTTGTATTAATTCTAATTTTTCCCCTGTTAATATTAGCACTAATTTGTTTATACATTAGACAATTAACCCAGAAAAGGGGAATGAAATTTATAGTTTAACTGTAAATTTTACCGTAGTAATATAGAATGAAAAGTAGACTCGACAATTCTATATAAATATACCAGAAATGTAGTATAAGATTTACTTACTTTGCAAGTGAAATTGAAATCCAGTACTCTAGCAAGGCACAGAAGAAAAGCCAAATATATTGATCAAACTCAACTTTACAAACTGTTAGAGATGCATCCACATCTGATCGACGAGTAACCAATTGAGCTGAGTAAAAAATACTTTCTCAAAAGAAAAATTCCTCTATGGGTGAAAGAATATTTGCATGTTACAACTTACAAGTATCTATTGAGTATACACCTCTCTTAATACATTCAAAATCAAGTAAGTTGAACCTTGGACTCTGCATGACTTCTGAACCTTCCCAAAATTCTACATGTTCAAATCTGCGAAGAGAGAGAATCAAGTTGAAAGGAGTAGTCAGTTGAGTCTAATGAGCATCCTCTTCAGAAAATTGATAAACCGCATAAGCACAAAAGGCTTGTTTAAACGCTCCAGCCCCCCTTGATTCAGTCTTGATGATATACAAAAATCTCTCTATTCCTACACCACATTCAAACCATGTACGTCATGCCTACTTGCATTAGATGAGAATGAGGCACACTTAAGTTTGCAGTTCCTCTGCGGCTGTTCTTCCGTAAGAAGGCGTAAAAATAATTTACAACAAGCTTTTTGAGAAACCAAGAATCTTTTCTTGCCCTAATATCACCATGACCTAGCAGATATACAACCCCAGATTCCTTAGCCTGATGAATGAAGGACAGCTCCCTCTCAAGACTTTGTTCTGGATCAGATGTGTCTGATGGAGTGTCTGGCTTCATCCCTGCAGAAGTGCTTGGCTCGGAAATGCGCACATTTGTATCATTGAAATCTGTTAGAAGAGGAACGCCAAGTGAAAAGGCACTTCCATTTTGGGCAACAAGGAAATTTGAAAAAGATTCTTCCTCATAATCTGTGTAGTCATCCCCGTCACCATCACTTTCTAGTGATCGTTCTTGGGCTTCTCGGCGAATAAATTTCTCAAGGCTATCAATAAGTAACTGCTCGAATATCTGATGAGTCTCTTTGCGAACATCTTTATACCCATACCTGTCCGTTGTAAAACCATTTTGACTTAAAAAACAAGGACGTAGCAGCATCTGACCATACTTTTATAAATGGAAGTACAAGAGAACATATCTTCATGAAAATGCAAGCATATATTCAACTAAAAAACACCTTACCGGGCAATGCAACGAAACATGTGATAGCTCTTTGAGCACACACGTCGGAAGAGGAATCTTTCATTCTGTGGCACCATCGACACTGGAACATACTTGATGCAGACAAAAATAATCATGGAGTGAATTGCAGGAAGGGTGGTTATAAAATGACCAAATATGGCTGGTATTCCTCTTACTAGCTCGTTGTAAACCAAGCCTATACCCGGAGCTCTAATGGTCCCAAGATTAGGGCCCAGCTGTCGGAGAAGATCCATTGACATCTTTTGCTTGACTTCAGTCTCATATTTCAGTTTACTCCCATAGTTCCATACACACATCATAAGAAACATAACTACAGCAAATAGAAGTATGATCCAACTTCCATCACCCACAAACCATATAACTGAGGAGAAGAAAGTTAATTCTATCCCCATGAAGACAACAAGAAAGGCCACAACAGTGACGATATTTATCTGCCAAATAAGAAGCATGACAAGGGTTACCAAAATTGTTGTCATCATCATTACTCCCAGCTCAGCAATACCTGCCAAACAAAAACCCTATTAGAATAGTATTTGTAACTGGATTCAATGTGGAGCGAAAAAAAACTATAACTTGAACACCCAGAGAATGAAAAAGCATAGAAGAAAACAAGATGAAAAGGAATTACAACCGACATTGATGTATACATAAAATGGAGAAATTGTAGAATAAACAAAAATGCAAGTGCTACGATATGAATCATGACAGCCAATCATAATTATGCTCCATCAACAAGATCTTGTACGTAGTATAATTCTTGTAGAAAAGCCAGAGGCCAGTCTGTATTAGGTCAGCAGAGAACAAGTGGATGACCCCCCCCCCTCCCCCCTCGTGCCCACCCAACAGAAAAACACTGATTATGGCGGTGGAGGAAACATGATCAGAATTTTTTTTCCCTATCATACTAACACTCAAAATTATCAGAAAAAAAATAAATAAATTCTGCACAAATTATCTGGAAAAAAAAAAAAAAAAAAAACATAATGCAACTCAACCATACCAAGACTGAAGGGAAATTTTAATTGAAACTTTTTTTTGCTTTTATATTAAATTTCAGAAGCAAACTGTTCCAACAACCAAGCATACAAATAAAGCCAGTGAAAGCTCACAGCCTGGCTAAGGTCCATACAAATCTACAATATCAGTCCCATTAAGACGACCAATATTAGGCCCTAATCATTAGCAAAGCAATGAATACACCAAAATTCAAATCAGAATACTAAATGTTCAAAAAATACACATACTTACAGAAATATATTCCCATTACAAGGAGTGCAAAATAAAAGTAAATGACTTATGCATTTACCCTATCTATAGCAAATTCAAACAAAGATGGAAACAGTTGGCTTCCTCTTAGACCAAATGATTTACGGAACTATTAATTTTCAAGAGAAACACAAAGTAACAAACTTACTCTTCGTTGCTGTGTCTACTTAAGCAACATAAGCTCCAAAAGAAAGCATCATACCATACCACCAAAGAAATGGCTTGTTCACCAAATAACCAAGACCTAGACCCCTGAGTAATTGGTCCACCCAATGAAAGATGGGACGGGACTCCAAATACTAATGATCTATCCATTGCATCATTTCTGAAAATCAGAATAATTCAAAATGACCCTTTACCAATCTTTAGGTTCTACACAAGGTTAGGAACAGGCACTTCTTTTCAGTTGATCAGGCATATAACAGGATTGATTAGGTTTTAAGTAATAGAAACCGTATATTAAGATTATTAACAGCACAAAATCAAAGCACCAGCCGTGAACCCCTATATCTCACTTGATAGGCTCAACCAGACAACCTAATCAACCGTTTTCCAACATGACTCTCTTAAAAGATTCAACCTAAGATATCAATGGAGCACACTTTTTCTCAGTTGATCGCATTTCATTCTCAGTTCAGCTCTTTGTCAGCCTTCTTCCATGGCTCAACGTTTCTACAATTACCTAAACATCTAAACATCGGTGCACATAACTTGCATTTTATTTTTTTTATATGTTCAATCAGCAAAAATATTTTCATTTCTACAGTTACATTCACAAAGACAATTCTGGACCAGTGCCAGAGAAAATATATATAGCAGGTCCTAATATTCATAGCTATTTCATCACTCTTTCAGCTCAAAGAAAGACTAATAACAAAAGGAAAGCCATTTGAGAGACCATGGAATAAAAATTACCATATGAATTCCCAATCTCCGTAATACTTGGAACAGAGCAGACCAACACCACACTGGCCGCAAGCAAAAACCAGTTCAGAACAGGAATGTAGATCTGGCCCATGAATTTTCGAGATGTATGGATGATTTTAAGTCGGGGAAAGCAGCCAAGTGCCGTCGATTGCTTTATACATGAAAATGTAGCAGTAGTCATATCTCGACTAGCAATCAGTGCAGCAATATTAGCAATAATGAAAACAGGCCAAAAGGCACCACCTGAAAAGGCAAATGAACATTTTCTGTTAGTGTTTCTTTTCCCAGAAATGGATAGAACAGAAGAAAGTGCTTTTTAGTCTACAGATAACATCCTCACCCTTCATCCAACCCGAAGTAGATAAAAAGAACCTACATTGCTCCAACTATCCCATGCTATTTTAAGGTACCTAGTAGTAAAGTCCTAGTGAAAGCTTACACATTGAGTTGCTAATCAGCTGCAAAGAAGAATGGAAAGAACAACCAAAGGGACAAAAACAATTTCACACACACACACACACACACAAACACAAACAAACAACACTAGCGGCTGATGGGAGCATAGGTCATCGAATGAAAAATTAACCATAACCAATCTAGCTATCAAAGGCCATAGAATTTGTATTTTACTCACTCACATTGAGTAAACCCAGGCAAATTTAATAAGGAGTAATATACATGAGCAGATTTTCCATCCTCCCTGGTGGTAAAAAAGGAGACCACATGGAAAACATTAACCTAAAGCTTAACCAAAGGTAAGAATGGGAATGGGAGGCTAGAACAAGCACATGACAAAAAGAATTATAGCAGTAAAAATAATAAAGCTAAGGCTTCTTTCACATCGCTCAAATTTTCATTCTATTTGAGAGAGGTTGCTGTTTGAGTTTGAAGTGCAAAAGAAGCCTGAGATGATATGACTAATGATGCAATGCCCAGAATATGATCATGCCCAAACGTACTTGAATAAATAGTCGAGTTATGGTATAAGGATAAAACATACTAGGTACAGATGAGTAAAATGCTTGGGCGCAATCTCCTGGATTCTGCATGAGGTAAGCTGCCTGGCCAAGGTATCCCAAAAGGAGGCATGGAAATACAAGAAACACAAAAGTGAGCTGCAAACAACCAACATAAAATCAGTGAGATATTGTATGATTCAATTTTATATTCTTATAAAAACAATAAAGCACAGAAAGTGGTAATAACCGAAGCCACTTTACCTGAACTGATCTCACTGAAAAGTAGCAAAGGTCAGCAAACATTGCTTCAGAACCTGGACATTAATTTTTCAAGTAAATTAAGTGATTTTGAACATGGGACAATAGATTTGACAGCACTGCAAAATTAAGATATATTCACAAGGCTCCTAGCAAAAGTAAGGACCTGCCATCTTTTATGACACCAGACTATCAAGCCATTGGCTCACAAGGCTAGTCTTAAATGTGAGATCTCAGATCTTGCAGCAAGCCACTCATGGGAGTCGAGAAATCAAAATGCTAGGCTGCCTAAATTCTAATGTTGTACACCAACATCAAGCAATGACAAAAGGAGCAGATTTAACCTAATCTGTTATAATACATTGAATATTTCAAGTCCAATCCAGTCTAATAGTTCAAAAAAAACCGAGTCATCTTAATTTTAAATTTGCAAGTGAGTAAGTTTAAAAGGCCATAAGAGCAAATTTCAGATCCAGCCCTTTTAAAAGAGTGAAGACATTTAAACCAAGCAACAACAATAATAGGAAGAAGTCAATAGTTAGCTTAGCAAGAACCATATGTAATCGTGTGTGTGTGTGTGTGTGGAAGTGCAATACAAAAAAAGAAGTGCAATAATCTACCATGATTGAATTGGGCAAATCTAATAAGATCCAGCATAAGATAGGGTAATCATCTCATCAGTAGTATACTAAAAGTGTATACCTGTTGCACAAAGGAGACAACCCCCAAGAGCATACCAAGCCTCTATGTTGTTCCTTTTGAAATAGAAGTAGATGTGGATAGGGTTAAAAGCCTTCCAGACATCTCGATCATACTTCAGCAAGTTGTGGATTCCAATGCCAGCTAGACAGCAGAACCATATAAATAAAGCAGGGCCAACTATGAATCCCATTTTACTGGTACCATATCGCTGCAGGCTAAACAGGAGTATGAGAAGTGCCACTGCAACCATCACAACTTCCTCTGCACAGAGAAAGATTATTAATGATTATTGCAGGCTGTAAGGTTGGGTTAAGCCTAAAATACACCATTCAAGCAAGGCAGATGTAACAAACTAACAATGAAAAGAAGTATATCCAAGCAAGGACACCATTACTAGCGTACAATAGTATGAATGCAACTGAACATATGAAAGGGGCAGATGCTAGCAATTCGAAGAAAGGAATAAACAAGGTCTTATCATGGCGATAATATTTTCCTTAGCAAGGAAAATAGAAATACCATGAACCAAATAGCCACCAACGGAGGTAACTGTACAGCAGACAGGTAGATGACTACATATATAAAGCAGGAAAAATGGGCAAGACTGGTAAAAAATAAGTGATACAATCAAGCTTTCGGAGCGAATTTAACATTAATAATAAGTGATGATATACCATGCTTTATGGCAGATATTCCAACCTTCAAACCGTCAACAGCTGACATCACTGCAAAGGAGGAAATGAAACAAAAATAAGTAAAATTAGATGCTCTTAAACAGAAGCTGTCTCACAAAACAAATTCCCGCCTGACAAAGCAAACAAAAAAGCACAAAGGGAAGCACAAGGAGAAGCATCAACACCTGACATTGCTGGGGTAACAATCCCATCAGCTATGACCATGGAGGTACCAGCAAGAACCAGCATCAAAAGAAGCTTCTTCAAGCCTAAGGAATTCTCCAGACGCTCCTTGATCTTAAGAGATCTCTCAAGCTCTGGAGATGGCACCTTTAGCCTGAAGCTTGATATTCGAGCATCTGATGGAAGTTGATTAGGAATGAGACTAACCCTTGCATGTCTACAGATCAACGAATATAAAGCAAATGTACCACCTGCAGTATTATAGGCCAACAAAGGAAAGAAAGTCTAGATTAGTCAATGAAGAAAATAGCAAAATAAAGCTTGCAACAGAGTCAAAAAAGAAATCCAAAAAGATTTGGCTAGTAACAAAAAGATATACCTTCACCATCATCATTTGCCCATAAAACAACAAGTATATACTTGATTAGAGGAATTAGGATTAAGGTGTACAAAACAAGCGATAAAGCACCAAGCACATCCTCTTTTCCTTTGATAGGGGCTTTGTCAAACATCACACTGAAGGTGTATAATTGACTTGTTCCAACATCACCAAACACAAACCCAAGTGTCTGGAAAATAAGTACAATATCCCTCCAAGCACCAAATTCCTGCAGATAAGACTTTCAAATCAATTTCACTTTCTGATCATGAATTCAATGTTAATAATCACTCAAGGGTTGGTTTCATCATAATGTATTAGCAGAAGGCATGCCTTCATTTACCCTAGGAATAGCTTTCCAACCACCAAATTCACCACACATGATTAAAAACCATTATACATGTACCCTAGAGCCTGAATGAAGCACCTGTCCACAGTGGAATAAGGGGAGGGGCAAACGCATTGTCACATCTATGCAGTATTGGAAACCGGCTAGCACTTTGTAGCCTACATTGTCTTTTAGGTCTCAATATAAAGTAATGGTATAGGCTTAAAGTGTGTGGAAAAATGAGAATCAAGACAGATCCCTCTACCATCACAATATCATTCCCGGACTCCACCAATTCTCTAATTTCTAGTTCTCTACAATAAGATAATAAATAGAACATCCAGCAAGCATAAGACAACACTTCTCTTAGAGAATCCCTCGATATATTCATAAACGGAAGTGACTAGCCCCCAGGAATGCATCAAGCTACTGATTTCCCATTCAAATCAACAACAGACAGACTTATGCCTCAGTATACCTTAAGATCATTTAATTACGGAGTATATTATACTCTCTTTGTTCCCCAAAGATTGCCCCATAGCCCCATGTTCACTTCATTAAGGGGAAGGCAAAGTTGAAGCATGTGAGTTGGTGGAATAGAAAATTGGTGGGACCAAAATAAAGTTTGTGAGATTAAAGTAGTGGTCCCTCATACCCACTTTTGGTATGGGACAAACTCAAAGGGACATCCAATAATCGATTATGGGGAAATATTTGAGGGAAGGAGGGAGTAAAACATATAATTGGCAGTAGACTGAAGATAAGAGAAAGAACAAGAAGAGAATCAAACTTGGTAGGATTTAAGCCTATGAATCCTACATTCTAACGAGTAGAACTAAGAATGCTTTCTTATCAAAATAGATAAGACAGTCGTGGCAATGTGTCTGAATACCATTAATACCACTGCTCTTGTTACTTTGCATCAGCAAACGAAGAGAATCATTACTACAGATTCATTAAAAACCCAAAAATATTATGACTTGGTTCATTGCTTTGATAATTTTTACAAGTTCCTTAAACCAATTAGCGGACTTTCAGTTTGATTCAATTCCTACATTTGATATGTAAATATTGAGGTTTCTAACATTGGGGCCAAAGCAAGTCATCTATTATAGTCTAATTGTATATCTATAAACTTATGGCAAGGCAATGACTACAAGTTCTTCAGCTGTTCTCTAACTTAGGTATAGTGAAAGAATTGCATAACTAATCAAGTAACTTGATGCTATCTTTGTCTCTTTGCCCTGTGAAGAGAGGAACCAGGCAATGGGAGCATAAGAGCTCCATTTCATGTTAATCACCTATCTAGATCCGAGGAAAATACCCTGAAATGACCTTCCAGTCACTATTGCTTCATCTTCTACTCTTTTAATGCTATTCCACTATTTGACCAATTTCATATCTTATTAGGGGCCGTTTGGTTGGGGGTATTTAACAAAGGGAAAGGGAATCAACTATCATGATTCCCTTTGTTGATGTTTGATAGGCAAATTCAATCATTCCCTTTACCCCTCCCATTCCCCCATTTTCCTCTATTCTCATTCCCCACCCCCCCCCCCCAAGGGAATCACCGTAACCCCCAAACTCCTTTTCACCCAACTACCTTGACCACCATCGAAACACCAACTGCCCACCGACACCATCGCCCAACCACCACCAATCCACCACCGCACCACACTCCCCACCACCGAAACAACTAGCCACCGCACCGAAACCCCTCGCCCACCACCGAAACCCCTCGCCTCACCCTCGCCCACCACCGAAAACCCTCGCCTTACCCTCGCCCACCACCGAAACCCCTCGCCTCAACTTACCTCGCCTTACCCTCCCTGAAAACCACCCCACCAAAAACACCCTAAACCCACCCTCCCCAAAAACATTGGCACCAAAATCGACCCAAACCCACCCGAAAAACCCCATCCACCGAAACCACTTCCCCACTTCCATGTCGTACCCGACCCACCACGAAACCACCACTTAGTACTACCGGTGAGGGGCGAGAGAAAGGGGTGCGGCAACAATGGCCAAACATCAAGAAATTCCATCATAAGGACTAGATCTAAGAGAAAGAGAGGAGAGAGAAAGGGGTGTGGTGACAACGGCGGTAGAGGGGAAGAGCATTGGCAAAGGTAAAGGGAATGGCGTACATGGTGAAGGAGAGAGGGGCGGCAGTGTTGGAAGTTAGGGAATGACAATGGTGGTGGTGGTGGTGGTGGAGATTGGAGAATACTGGGGGTGGTTCAACCTTGTTTCCCTTTCTTGTTTTTTTAAACAAACAACTTGGGAGATATGAGGGAATTGCTTTCTTTTCCCCTTCATTCCCTTTCTTTATGTCATTCCCTTTCCCCGTTGCAAACCAAACGCCCCCTTAATATATTACTTCTTTACTACTCTCCCTCCCTCAACAGTCTTCAACTACTATTTTTCCCCAACTCTGCTTTGTGCAACAATTTTTAGTATTCCATAGCTCTCTTGAAACAGCCTAGGTACAAGTTGAGTAACAAACATGGCTGTACGACCCTTCCAAAAACTTTTTTATGTTAGATGACATGTTTTAATGATTGTCCTTTAATTTTACATTGCCGTTAAGTGGCACTCCAAAAATGCTTTTCCAATTTAAATTCTAGCAGTGATAGCCTCCCGCAATAGCTTGTGCAATTAAGGAGAAAAAAGCTAATTATTTTGTGACTTTGACAGGTTACATGCTTGTTTACAAGCAATTAAGCAAAACCTTCATTAAAGTGATTGAACAGTTGTTCTCTTCACCTAGAATAAGGTATTCCGGCTTGATTTTATTGAGGTTTAGTTTGGCTTTGTCTGATCTAATTTCCTGGATGAGAGAAGGTAACAGGACAAGGAACAGGTTCAAATTCCTTACTCGTTAATAAACCACAACCTTCCAAAGTTTAACATAATTTGAGGTAAAATGCATTCCCCTTCTCCTTTGACCACCCCTACCTTCTCTCCCTCATTGGCATTGCTATCCAAACTCATTTTACAGATGATATACATTATATTCTTTAGCTATTTGCAATATAAAAAGGAGCAGCAATGTTCTACCGACTTGCCAGGGAAAAGCATAATTCAGCTTTACTGAAATTAATTATCCTGATAAGACAATATTTAGCTTTATGTGGAAGGAGTATCAACTATTGATCTACTCTTATATCTTCTTCCTCTGTTCCATAATCTAATTTGATGTAAATGCCAGACATACTTGCTTCCTAAAACAATCCAAAAAGTACAACTCTATCGCAATACCAGCCACAACTTCCAAGGATAAAACAATCTAATTCCCAAATACATCCATCATTACTCACTAACAGCCCCTTTCTATACACCCTAGTAGGACTTCTACCCCACGCAGATATGGAGTCTACGTAAACAGCATTACCCCTATCAGCCTATGACCGAAAACCAAAGTTACTTGCAACTAATTTACCTTAATGAAACAACAGCAACAATCGTCTTCTACTCCACATTAAGAGAAGCACATGCAAATCAATTAATAATCTAAATTACAGTTCATTCTAATGTACACCCAATATTTATAGAATGATTTGATACATTCAAACAACAATAGGAAAATTAATCCTAAATTCTTCAAAAAACCTCAAACAGTTTGATCACAAGCAAAACAAAAACACTAAACATCAATAATAATCACAAAAAACAATGAAAAATGGAAGATTAAGATAGAAAGTGAAGAACCTCAAAATCATGTCGATGAGTACCAGGAACTTCAAGAGCTTCAACATCGAAAGAATCAACCCTAGGACCAGTACGAATCAATCTATGCGTCACAACATCTTCTTCATCTTCAGAATTTTCGCCATTCTTCGATCCTGAATCATCTCCATCATCCTCTTCATCGTCATCATCAACTCCGATCTCCGATTCATCGTCGAATTGATACACCCAACGAGACTCCATTGAATCAGTTTTCACAAGACTTTCTCTCTCCTCGCCATCCTCCTCCGCCATTGAACGATGAACCGATTCAATTTCCGACGTGATTTCACGAAATTGGTGCAACTGCAAACCCTAGAGATTTTGCGAAATTTAGGGATCGAAAAAATGAGTTCAATCTGAAGAGTTGATGCTTCAATTGAGCTTAAGGTATAAAAATGGTGGAATTGAATCACTGGGAAAAAACTGTAGGAGAAGAGGAGAGAGAAAATGTTATTTCATATTTAACTGTTCTAACGTCGACAGGTGGATTTGTAATGTTACCCCTTTTATGTCTTTGATTGATTTCTTCTACTACGTACTACAAATACACTACTACTAGTCTACTACTTCTTCCTAGTGGAGATGGCCATATCCATATGTGATTGTGAAGGGCTCGGATTTATAGGCCAGAAGACTGTTTAGGGGGGAGTAGGTTATGCATAGAAATTAGAGAGCATCGTGAAAGGGCTCAAATTTAGGAGGAGTTTGATTGATTGATTTATTAGGAGTTTCAAACAACTATGTTACATGGAGGTTGATAATTAAATTAGTTAATAAGTTTGCTTGACTTTTCCAAATAATAATTTATGTTTATTTTATTGTATAGTTTAATAAAATAAATGTTACCACTCTTTGTGCGACCGATTAGGGCCAACCAAAGGTATAACTATTGTCGTTATAGTTGTCATTTATTTACATAGCTAAACAATTAGTTTTCTAGATAAACAAAATATGCATTTCGTAAAAGTACAATAACTCTGTATGTGTAGTTTAAAAATGAACTTTCATGATTGTCCACACTTGACTCAATGCTGTGATCCCATTAGGTAAAATTAAGTTATACCCTGCCCAGATGATACTTTAATAAGTATAAAGGAATAACTTAACTTAATTCTAAACCAGCAGTAATTATTTTAGGTGAAATTAGAGGATATGCTCTCTTCAACGTAATTTGATTTAACTGAACTTAAATGAAGTTAATCAACTTATGTTGTTTGAGCTAGAGAGTATGTCTGAACTAATTATTTCTTCAATCAGTCAAATATTTTATGTATACACACAATGTAGCAAAAAATTGAAATCGAGGCAGAATTCTTTGCAATCAATTAAAAATTTGAGCTTTTAACAGATTAACATACTTTACTTGATTCACATGCTCAAACATAAGCCTCTATAGTAAGTAATACTTATCAAAGGATATAAAAGAATAAAACCACAACAGAGCCATGTTAAACATATTAGGGATCCTGTGCCAAAAACCTTTTAGGGACCCTGTGCCAAAAACCTATGCCATAAAAATATGAAGTCGTACTCCTTTGTCTCAAAAACTTTGCCTTTTATTAGTCATAAATAAATACTTATCAAAGGGTATAAAAGAATAAATTTTTTGTTTAAAAAAAAAAAACTAAGAAAACTTATTAAGGGAAACAACCCAGCCCAATAGCCGGCCCTGTCCATAAGGTTGATGTGGAAGGTCTACTAACTAGTACTCCGTAATACTAAGTTGACTAAACAAAGATCACATAGTATATAAGTATAAAATATTAAAAAAAAAATAAAAAAAATAAATAGCGCCAAAATCAGTATAAATATTACAGAGTTTTGAGCATCATCATTCACCATTTTCTCCAAAACAAAAACTCCATTTCCTCTCTCATCCTTCTGCATTTTCTCTCTCATCATTCTGCATTTTCTCTCTCATATTTCTGCATTTTCTATCTCATCTAATGGCCGGTAATCAGGCGTGGTTAACTTTCGGGACACAATCTCCTGTTCCAGCTACAGTTCCGGCGGCTACCGCGGACGTTGTGAGTACGGTGGACGTTGTGAGTACGGTGGACGTTGAGAGTACAGCGGACGCTGTGACTACGGCGGACGTTGTGACTACCTCGGACGTTGTGAGTGCGACAGACGTTATGACTCCGGCTGACGTTGAGAGCATTATGATGCAGGTAAGATTCACTTTAAATTCGATTAAATTTGACTTGTTCTGTAATTTGCAATGATCGGAGAAGTTTAGCGTTAAATTTGAAGTGAGCTGGATTAACGATGAAATTATTTTTGTGTAAATCGGCTTATCACGGAAATGTTTAGTTTAATCATTGTTAATTATTTCAAAAAAAAAAAGTTTTGATTAGATTAGAAAAAATAAGTTTTTATGTGTTTTAAATTCAACTTTCATTATTAGTTTTTATTGATACAAAATAAAATATGGAATAAAAAGTAAAGGTTATAAATACATGTAAAATGATTTTAACAACCAAAGTTGTGTTTTAACATTAAGAGTGAAAAATCAAAATGTTGCAATTAAAAAAGACGATGATAAAAAAGTAGCTTATTTTAGAAAGATAATCAATTTTGAATTTCTTACATCTTTGAAATAAGTATATGTGTTGTTTCCCTCTTCTACATTGTTTATACTATATTGCTATGTATCACATTCTATTATTCCATGAAAAAAAATTAAAAAAAAAAAAAAACAATAAAAAAAATCAAATACCAAAAAGTTTAAAAACAAAATTTCAAAGAGCAAGTTACTTCCTCTTCTTCACCAATGGCCAACTGAATCAATTTGATCTTGGTGTTGGTAATTCTTTTGAATAGAACTTGGTGAGAAGGGCAAAGAAAACGGCTGCTCCGGTACCGGAAAAGATGGTTGAGGAAGCAACAATGTGTTTGTAGAAGAATATATACTAGTAGCATAAGGTGACAACCCTTGATCAACTTGTTGAAATTGATCATGTTGTTGGTGGTGTTGTAATAACCGTTGATGATTATGTTGTTGTGAAAGTTGATGTAATTGATCATTTGATCTTTGTTGCTTAGGGACATTTAATTTCTCCTCTTCAATTTTTCTATACTTATTAAGGTACATTTTCAAGGGATTCACGTAATCCTCGAAACCAAGGGTTGTTATAGCCCATATAATGTCGTCACCATTGATAGTCTTCCTTTTTTCTCTTTGGCATTTGTCCGATGCTTCCCCCGTGACAAAGCTTATAAACTCAGAAACACATTCTTGAACAGTCTCTTTCGCATCCTTAGAAATTTTTCCACTTTGTGGAATTACCTTTTTCATGATCCTCCCTACATTCGCTATAGGGAGAAACCGGTCTTGCTCTTTATTACTCGCGTTGTTGTTGTTGTTGTCGTCGTTGTTGCTGTTGTTCTTAGAACAAGGGCTATCAGGGCTTTCTTGTTTGATTCTAAGGCTTTCACCATCCATGTCTATATTAATGTTTTGTTATTATTATTTTTGTTTGTTTACTTGTTATCTTTCCCAAGTATTAATATTTTTTATTTGAGAAAATTGAATTAGTGATAATTAGGAAGAAAATAATATAAGAATTTTTGGGTTGTGATTAAATGGCAAAAAAAGCAAAAAAATAGGCAAGTGAAGTGGTAAGTGTTTGGTTAATTTTGACCGTGGGACTCGCTCTCTGTTAATAGCCCTAATTTACCTATTAATGTTGACAAACAGATTATGTAGGAATTTGAGGCAAGATTTTAGAAGAATAAAAAAAAGGCATGCAATTTAACATGTAAAGGATATTACTCATACTCTCATGGTGCCTTTTCTAGTGTGAGTAATATCATCTCTGTTTGAGCCTGGCATTGTCTCTTTCTGATTGGAAGTATCAGGTCTTTGATGTTATTCAACTATATGTCATGTTCCTTCGTAAAATGGCCAACAAAATGTTAGTAATAACAAAGTCAGGGATTCCAATGGAATGCTGTATTAACAATGTCAGAATTCCATGAAATGTTTTTGGTTTACAGTATGAACCAGAACTATATCCTGGCTTGATCTATCGAATGAAACAACCAAAGATTGTGCTGCTTATGTTCGTCTCAGGAAAGATAGTTCTGACAGGAGCTAAGGTGAATTTATCTTGTGTTTTGTGTATTTTGTGTCAAACTCTGACCCAGGGTTTCTACTGCTTATATTCGCCTGTAATATTTTGATTGTTTGTTTTTCCTTTCAGTGTTCTTTCTTTTATGAGCAGTGTTCTGTACTTATTTAACTGAAATTGCTTTTCCATTATGGCAGACAAGTTACAGAAGTTGCTGAGCGATGCAAATTTCTGGCAAACTGTATATAGATGAAAGGGGATGCGGCATGCAGCACTGCTTTCTTTAGAAGATAAACGCTGTGGGTTTAGTAGAGTTATCTCCCCTCCCCTGGATAAGCTGCGCGTTAGTAAATGCTGTCTAGAGAACTTCTAAACTTTGACTTGAAGATTGTCTTGAATTAGAATTGAAGGTTGTCTAGATTTAGAACTTCTAAGCTTGGCATTCAAGTTTCTTTTACTGTTAATGATGAAACTGTCTGGATTAGTGCTCATCATAGTCAATCCCGGTAATACTACTTTCTTTGGATGCAATTGCAAATCTTTTGATTTGTTATTGTCTTCCATTTTTTTTTAATCTCAGGCCTTCCTAGTTCTTTCTTGAGGCTGTTGAGACTTGAGACTATATATTGTGTAACATATGTATGTCTAATATGCGCGCTATTAATTGTCAAAATAATAAGAATTTCTCAGTCAAAGCATATATGTGTAGCTGAAAAAAACAATATGATACGAAGTAGTTAGGACATTGAGGCTCTGAGATACATTTCTATCGCAAGTTATATAGTTGTGACCTTGTATTGACATGTACTCTGTAACATAATAACAGTATTGATTGTACAACACAACCTTGTTATTCATTTAATCTTTCAACAGGTCTATAAGTTATGTGCGTGATTTGTAGTACCATCAAGATGTGATGGGTATTTCTTAGATTGAAATAGTATTTATTAAGCGAAAATAAATGAGAACTTGGGTAGTCGCAAATGGCGAATAGGGGGCTCAAATCATTTAATTTGTGCAAGAGTACAATTGAAACCATAAACTAATATCGTGTGGATTTGGCATAAAACAAGATTAACCTCTTATACACCAAACTAATAGAGAAATATAACGGCTAAACTACTGTAGATATATAACAGCCAATATTGATTGAGTTTAAACAATAGTTTGAAAAATGTGTTAGAAAAAATTAATACTAAAACGCATAGATGGCACAATTAGTTATTAAATACTACCTCCGATAATTGTTATGTACAACTTTGGAATTTTTTTACTTCTCATAAATAATACCTCAAAGTTGCACATAATAATAACTGGAGGTAGAAGTTAAAGTTTTACAACCAAATTAAAAAAAAAAAAAAAAAAAAAAAATTCCAAAATAATTAAAAAACAAATATCAATTATATACCAATTCTTCCTCCGAAAATATTTGCTTATATACCAAAAATTTTGAAGTTTTGGAACATAAGATAATATAGCTAATCAAATGCACTTCTAATAATTCCCTATTACAAATTTACAGTTGTAATTCGGGGATTAGGTTCATTCAAAAATATAAATGTAATTAAAAAGTTGTAAATGGAAGGATAATATCTTGCTCGTAAAATAATACTGTAATTTTTTTAAAAAAAATGAAATGCTGCACAAAGATTCAAAACTAGGTCCTCTAAACACAAGCCCAAAAGTGGACTGCCAGGGGGTTTGATCCAGCGTGCTTTGTTAGGAAAAAGACTCTACAACCAAGTATTAGACCACTGCACCATCTTAATGGCTATGTATCACACAAATAGATTTGTAACTAATTTTTTTTTTTTTTTTTTTAAAGTGGAGTTGTCTCTCCTTGTCCCCTACTAGTTTCGCCACTGCGTGTCACAACTTGATTTATCCAAAATTAAAAAAAAAAATTAACAAACAAAAGAAGTAAAACAAATTAAAAAAAAACCACCACCACCACCCCACCCAGACCCGAAACCACCGCCACCCAAAAACCACCACGCCGGCCGGGATCCCACCCCAGCCAACCCAACCCCAAAATCCCAAAGGTGGGATTATACCCCCTTCGAAAAATCAAAACCCACTAAACCAGACCTCAGGAAACAGGTTGGAGAGGTCGGTGCGGCCTAAATCAAGGTCGGGGGAGGATGACACGGTCGAAATGGGGGACAGGGAAGGTAGGCGCGGCCGGAAAAGGGACGGGGGACGGAGATGGGCTAGGATCGGGACGGGAAAGGGGTTTTCAAAGGGAAGGGGCTGGGATCGCAGGAGGTTTCCGATGCCTGAATTTCGTGGGGGAGGGGGGGTTGGTGGTTCAGGTGAGGGGGTCAATCGCGACGCCTGTGTCGGCGCTGGAGTTGGGGGCTAGGTGGCCAGAGCCGCGGGGCAGAGGATCGGGCTCAGGCGGCAGTTACGGTGGCTTGGGCAGCTGGTGGGTGGTAGGTGGTTTAATTTTTTATTTTTTTTTAATTTTTTTTTAAAAAATCATTTTTTTAAAAGTTTTTATTTTATTTTTATTTTTTGACTACTCATAGGCCGTCATGTGTCAGGTAACCTATTATAACAAGTTACATGATCGTTGAGACCATTTTGAACGGATTTGGTATAAAGGTCGGATTATTTAAAAATAACCCAAAGGTGGGATTATTTTGGGTGGACGCTCCAAAGGTGGAATTATTCTGGGCAATTTTTCCTTTATTTTATTATCTTTTCGAAAGATCTGTTTTAGAAAAATATCTTCTTTGAACGAGGAATTTTACTAAGTTAAAAACAATTGAGAAGGAGTGGGAAGTGGCAGAATATTTCGTGAGAAAAATCAGGGAAGTTGCATAAGCTTGCTGCCCAAGTTCCCTCTAACTGCTTGTTCCTAAAACTTAGGAAGTCATGGCCAAGTGGGGCTGAAGCAACGGTGAAAGAAACCGACCTACTCTTCTATAAAAAGAGTCAGTTTTCTGTTGAAAAAATATACTTGAGCATTACAATTATTCTTGTTTTAAAAAGAGTCAAAATTCAATTGAGTTCTTGTGTGTCTTTGTGCTAAGTTTTAGAGTTAATCTTGTGTTGTATTGGGTTAGATTTTGAGTGAACTCTAAAGTGTTTATGATTTGAGTGAAGCTAAGAGAAAAAGAGAGTTTAAGAGATCAACTAATTAAGGGATCAGTTGAAAGGGAAACTCGAGTTTGTTGAGGAACTCGAGTTAGTGTCTTATTAGATTATAATAGGTTGTTTTCCCTATTATAATTAAGAGTTGAGTTTTAAAATCCCTTGCGGTCGTGGTTTTTCTTCTTGATTTGGGCCAAGAAGTTTTCCTCGTAAAATCTCTCTTTGCACTTTAAGTTGTATTTTATAAATTCCACAAAAATTACCATAGTTCCTCTACAATACAATTCAACCCCCCTCTTGTATTGTTCATTCTAGTCAACACCAGCTGGCAGCTGCTGATAAGCGTTTGGCTAACTTAGATGGTCCTTCTGTTCTGGCAGATGGGGCTCAGCTGATCTTACAGGTTTGTTTATTTCGCTAAGTGTGTGGATAGTGCTTTTGGCTAAGTATACTAGTTAACTCGAATTCCTTTTGTGAAACAGGGTCTTCAAAATGTTTTGTCTTCCAGGGTTTTCATGGAAGATATTGAAAGGAGGTTGAAGAGGGCTGAAAAAGCCAGGAAAGACCTGCAAACCCAAAGAGATGCAGCTGACCAGAAGGTGAAGGATCTCACCATAGCTAAGGAGTAGTAGCAGAAGGGATTCGAGGAAGGCATGAAGAAAAAAAAGGGGGAGGTGAAGCAGCTGTGTAGACACCTGATTGTATCTCCCCAAAAACCAAACCCAGTGATGAGTACCTTTCACGTCTTTGACTAACGAGTTCGGTAAAGGGTTGAAGAGTCTCATGAATTTCCCTTGAGCCTTAACCATATCCCTAACCTTACCTAAAATGTTCTAATTAAAAATCATTCATTTCGTGTCTTTAAATCCAAAATAATTCATTATGTGTCCTTAAAATCATTTATTTCATGTCCTTTTCATATAAACGTCCAAACCAAATTATTTTGGTCCATAATCCCGATACTATTATAGCTTAGTTGGATGGGGATTGAAAAGAATTTTCCAACGATATATTATAAGCCCAAACCGACTTATAACGAATAAGTTATGGCCAAAATACTAAATCGAGCCCAAACCAGACTTAGGTCCACCTTACCTACGACCCAATGACTATGTGAGGGTCTAAATAATTTATTCCCAATCCTAAACCAATTAGGACTCTTTTAGAAGTTTCTAGAAGGTTCTAATTATCCTTTTCGAAAAGATAAAGATCAAAGAGTTTGAAACTGAATAAAACTTCTCTTTTAATAATCCTAAACTGACACTGTCCCACTATTTCGATCATATCTTAACTTTTACAATAGACATAAATTTGATTCTAATTGGGTTGGAAAGTAGACTTCTAGAGCTTCCCAACGATATATTGCTTATCTAATTCCGATTTCCGGATCAATAGTTATGATAAAAACAAAAACCATAAAAACTGCATTCCATCGCACCGCGCCAGTCCCATCACAACGCGATGCACTTCAACGCGCCGTGATACACTTGTCGCACCGCGACTAAAAGAGTTTTATTCTGATTCAAATTCTGATCTTTTCTGATTACTTTGGCCCTCTTTTTTTTCTATAAATAGAGGTCGTTTTCCCCGTTTTCAAATCAGCAACAACGTTCATCAACCCTTAGCAACAACGCTCACCATAGACCTTTAGCAAAAATGTTCATAAATTTTAGCTTTAATGCTCATTATAACCCGAAATTCTTTAATTCCAATGTTCTTAGCCTTAGACTAAATATATCTTTGATACATCCAATATCAGTCACAATACCTCATTCACGAGATTTGTATACTCCTAGCCATCCTCGACGTTGCCTTCGACCTCGACATGAAAGGCTGATAGTTCTGAGGGTTTGGTCCCAAATCTATATTTCAATTCATATTTGATTTATTTACGTTACTAACGTGTGTATTGATTTTATAGCAAGAAGGTCAAGACATCAAAGTGAGTAATTTAATCATCCTTATTATTCTTGGATTTTGGAATAGAAATCATGTTTACAATATTATTTTAATTCCTAGTATCATGTTAGGATGTTTTATGATTTCTAGTATCATGTTTAGGATGATTTATCGATTTTGATTATTAGTGACATGCTAGGATTTGTTATTAATCCGTTTAGTATTATGCCTAGGATCTTACTAATAACGATATTTTGATGATGCTTTTATGATGATGATTGTTATATTAATCATATGTTGTTTGATTATTCATGATATTATTGTTGTTGCTTGATCACGCCCTTTTTTGCAGGTTTAAAGGGAATTTGTATTTGAAATCACGCATAATAAGATAATTGATAGTTGAATTTAGGCTAATGTGATTTTAATTCAAGTGATTGCCAATATTAGATTTGATTGTGCATTAATAATCAACCAACGTAGATTAAACAGGTTTAGGACTAATATGATGTATGTTGATCGGGAAGCGCACATGAATATCATAAGAATTAAGTAGAGGGCTATTTAGGGCGGGTTCAATCTCTTTTAGGTTGGATTCGTACCATCGTCATCAAACATCCAGTCATGGTTTCGGATCACTATGGAGTTAGTGATCTCCGTGATCGTGAATGGGGAGTTACCTTAACTTTACACTTGTAAACGATTTACAAGTTCCTAAAACTTGTTGGCGACTCCTTCATTTCTAGCTTCTTTTCCTTGGAACACCGCCATGCATAAAAGCATGACTCACAGTAGGGCTCAATGATTGAGTGTTGAAAAATTCCCTACAGACTGCTTGTCCAATTACTCATAGATCTTTGATAGGTTGGTTAGTGGAAATCTATTGCTTTCAAACTCATGCATATTGGACAAAAAACTAGGTAAATTGGTTTTTTTTTTAAATTGCTTTTGGTAAATTTATCATTATTGATAACCATAATTTTGTCAATCATAACGTGAAATTCACGAAATTTGAGTTAATTCTCTAAAAGCCTCACTCAAATCAAATCCCCAATTTGATTTCAAAACCCTAATTTCATTTCAAAACCCCTAATTTAAGTTTTCAAAAGCATAAATCAACAAAACATACCTTTTTTCCTTGATTGCATTTGAGTATTGAAGCAAGAAGATTTTTGAAACCCTAATTTTATGTTTCATAATTCAATTATAGATTTTTTTTCCCAAAGTTGATGAATAAAGAAGGGGAAATCGTAAGAAGAAAGAAAAAGAAGAGGAAAAAGCAAGGGGTGGGGCCCAAGTGACGTCATACAAGAGGCTTTGATCAAAGAGGTGGTAATTTTTTATATTTTAGAAAACTGTTGGTTGTAAAAAAGAATACAAATAATTGTAGGTGGTAATTACTAAAACGTAAACTATAATAGGTGGTAATTGTCAAATTTTCCTTTTTATTTACAACTAAAATGTTTAGTTCTATAACATTAAATGTACATTTTTTTTCTTCAGATTCATAGTTTCTTTATTTTGTTCTTATATTATAAAAGTTCATTTTTATATAATGCAAAGTTCAATTACTAAATCTTCATTTTTTTTTCAAGTAAATATTTATTTTTATCGTGAGACAAGCTAAAAATTTGGGCATAATAAACTTCAAATTCCAATCTCCAAAACCCAACTACAATCCCTCTATTTTCAACTTCCAGGTTTATGCAGGGTTTTAGCCTTTTAGGGAGGAGAGAGAAACTAGAATCAACAATGGCGATTTACTCTCACAGACGCCTGATTCTCTCTCTTCGTCAACTATTTCATTTCAATTCCTCTTTTTCTCGTTTCAATTCATCCTCTCTTCATACCTTTAACCTAAATTTTCGATCATCTCCATTTTCTTCAACCTCGGTACTTCGGAAATTCCTGTCGTCTTTCAATTCGTCTCCACTAATAAACAAATGGAGCTTCAGAAGTAGCTTTTATGGCGTTCGAAGCTTCTCCACTCGATTTTCTGAGTCGTCTTCGAGAAATAATGGACCGCCGAAGGAGACGATTATGCTCGAAGGTTGCGATTTTGAGCATTGGCTTGTTGTTGTGGAAGCTCCTGATCCTCAGCTCACTCGCGATGATATTATTGATGGTTATATCAAAACCCTAGCTCAAATTATTGGAAGGTCTCTCTTCAATCTCTTTTACTCTAATTTGATTTCTGTGTATTGCGTTGAATTTAGGTTTACATTTCTGGAATTTGTGAGTTTGATTGATATTTTATTGGTGCAGTGAAGAAGAAGCTAGAATGAAGATTTATTCGGTTTCTACACGCCATTACTTTGCTTTTGGTGCTTTAGTTTCAGAGGAGCTTAGTTATAAGCTTAAAGGTGTGCCAAATTATGTTATTTGTTTTGATGATGTCGTAATTGTTTAATCTTTGTCTAATTAAATAACTAATTGAAGAATGTTAGGTTCACAGGAGTTCTTAAAAGTTGATAATTATATTTTTTGTTTTCATTGGCTTATGCATAATTTCCAGAAATTTGCCTGTGTTATTACACTTTGCACTTTTGCAGATACTATTTTGAGATGTCAAAGATAGTTGTAACATTTCTAGAATTATAGTCAATCGCGGTTTTCTAGTTTTCTATTAATATTATGACATATAGAAATGAGCGAATAAGGTTGAGAGGCTCACAACTATTACTTGTGTAATGTATAAAGTGTAAGATATTGTGATCATGTCAAATGCTTGTAAATGAGTATGATATTATTTACATTATCAATTACACATCCTTTGATCACTTCGTATTCTATAATTTCTTATGTCACCTGGTGCTTGAAAATGAGGATAATTTGCCTAATAATAATAAGAAATTAAGAGTGAATTATAGCTTTGTTTTGCTTTTTCATCATTGGTTAACCTGCTCTTATGTTCTTTTCAAATATACATCTGTTTGACAACCTGATAAGTTTCGCCATTAGTATATGCTTTGGATTATGTTTCTCTTGCAGATACTCGTATATGGTTATTCTATTGCATTCAATGATAAATTGATGGAAACCAACTTGCATTCAGCTATAGTGGAGGCTACTCTTTTAATTGCACATCCTTTGATTATTTCACTTTTGTAGCACCTGGCAATGCAATTGGAGATGTGTTTGCTAGTTTCTTTGAAATATCTATTTTGTGTTTGTGTGTGTGTGTGTGTGTGTGTGTGTGTGTGTTCTGTATGACTATAAATGCTAATACTGTGTCAAATTTCATTTGGATCAGAGCTACCAAATGTTCGATGGGTTCTCCCAGATTCCTACATGGATGTTAAGAACAAAACCTATGCTGGTAAGATCAGATTTTGTTGTTGTGGTGTTTTATTTTATGTCATGTGATGGTTCATGGGCTCATGTTTGTACTGATTGCTCCTTATATAACTAGGTTATTTTATTGATCTTTCTGTCTTCAACTATGTTGTGATAGTATCTTATTTGTTTTTAATGTTTCTTTAATTGCTTTTTGTTTAGAGTGTAAGACTATATGTTGTGGTGTTGCCCTAGGGAAGTTTACTTGATCAAATTGTTTTTGAAATACCAGCCAACTGTAAACTGGTGTGTAGAATTATTAGTGGCAGTTGATGCATTAGGAGGTCATTTATATCCACTGCATATGCCAGTGTATATCTTCCCTGTAACTCACTCGTTGCCTGGGATGCTGGGAGGCCTGGGACCTTGGGCCATTCTTTGATACCCGGTCATGTAATATTTTCCCATTGGAAGGTCTCTGTTTCCTACCTCAATTTGTGTGTTGTTCCTGTAGACAGTGTCTGTTTTCCACCCCCATCTGCCTCTCCGGGGGCCTAGTTTAATGCCATGATAAACTTATGATTCCTCATGGTAAGAACTTCCCTTACCCTGTTCCCCACAAAACCAATCCAAATGAACCAAAACAAGGGGAAGCAGTGGAGATTGTTGCTCTAGAGATGAAGTCATTAGTATCTTATACAAGTATGTTATATGGTTTGTCCCCTTTCTTTCTCTTCTGATTTGCTATTTACAGGCGAGCCTTTCATCAATGGACAGCCAGTTCCTTATGACCCAAAATATCATGCGATATGGGTTCAAAACCATGCAGAATCCCAGAGAAGTAGAAACAGAAGTTCAAGAAGGCAAAAGGATCCAAACTCACGATCAAGACAACCTACATCTTCATCGGTATGTGATGATTCGAATCAAAACTGGATATCTACCCCTAATCATCTTATTCCGGCCCTACAGACATCAACCACGCAAAACCGGACTTCTCAGACTTTATCTTTATCAGATCCTGGTTACTACAAGCAGGGTCAGATACATTCTGCTGATTCTGTAAATGAAGCTGTTCAATCCTCTCAAATGCAGATCCCTTACCACTTGCGAAACCAGGATCAGGCTCCTCCAACCTATACTAAGAAAAATGCTCCTCCAGCCTATAATCAGAATCAGGGTCCACCAACTTATTCTCAGAATTATACTCCTCCATCCTGTACTCAGGTACAGCCTCCTCCAACCTACTCTCAAAATCAAGCTCCTCCAAGCTACTCTCAAAATCAGGCTCTTCCAAACTACTCTCAAAATCAAGCTACTCCAACTTATTCTCAGAATCAAGCTCCTCCAACCTACTCCCAAAATCAAGAGCGTCCAAACTATTCTCAAAATCAGGCTCCTCTAAGGGATCTAACCTACTCTCAGAATCATGCGCCTCCAACCTATACTCAAAATCAAGCGCGTCCAAACTATCCTCAAAATCAAGCTTCTCTAACCTACTCTCAGAATCAGGCTCCTCCAACCTACTCACAGAATCAATTGTATCCAAATTATTATCAAAATCAAGCTCCTCCAACCTACTCTCTGAGTCAGGCTCCTCCAACATACTCGCAAAATCAAGCTCCTCCAACCTACTCTCAGAATCAGGCTCCCCCATCCTACTCTCAAAATCAATCGCATCCAAACTCCTCTCAAAATCAATCGCATCCACCCTACTCTCAGAATCAGGCTCCTCCAACCTGCTTTCAAAATCAAGCACGTCCAAACGGTTATCAAAATCAAGCTCCTCCAACCTACTCTCAGAGTATGGCTACTCAACCCCCCTTCATGCAAAATCACCCAACGCCCTGGACCCCACCTCCTACCTACTCTCAGGATATGGCTACTCAGCATTCAGGTACAATGGATCCAAATTCCCAGGGCTGGGGAAGCCGAAGCCATAGCTGGGCGCCTCCCGGAGGATCTGAAAATCAAACCCACCCTCCACCCACAACCCCAAACAACAATTTTTCATATAAAAATATGCCACCTTCAGCTCCTGCAAGTAATGTTCCATATCAAGGCCAGGTCTGGGGACCTTCCTCAAAATACCAAAGTTGGCCCTCACAGCCCCAAAATTCAAATAATTACTCACACGGCAATTTTCAACCCTCAGCCCCAGCCAGGGACATGCCATCGCACTTGCAAAACACGAACTTCCATGGAGGAAGCATGCCATCTCACGCTCAACAAAATGAGAACCTTTACAAGGATAGTCCACTTCATGCTCAAAGTACCAGTACCTCAAATGACTATCCTTCAGAGTCTTTACTACAGCTACAATACCAGGACAGTCACAGAACTTACATAGACATGCAGAGTTCAACGTCAATGGTAACTCCTCAAAGTACACAAAACTTTCAAAATGCGAATGTGGTACCTCCAGCTCTTGCACAGGACATGACCTCTCACACGTGTAACCCAAATTCCTCAAGACAGGATGCTGCAGCTGAAGTTCAGCAGAATGGTTACTCCAGAAATATTCCACATCATGCGAAGTATTCACCATATAATACATATGAAAATCAACAGTACCAGAACAGCACTAGAGAATTACAACGTTCAAGTGCCACAGAAATACCTCAGAATTGGAACCATCAGAGCATACCCCCGTCCATGCAGAACAGCGTCTCCCCTGATATGCTGATGTCTCGTGGAGTTCTGACTCATCAAAACCAGGATGAAGATATGTCTAGGGTAAACCAGAACAGCAAATCTCAGCATAACATGGGATCAGCTTCTCAAAATAATGATCACAATGGTGGAAGGAAAATGCCTAATGACACGAGCATGGACACTGTGCAGACTAGAGACTACCAGGAGCGTGACAATCCCGCTGATGATTATTGATGTAGCGAATCTCAGCATAACATGGGATCTACCAGAACAGCGAATCTCAGCATAACATGGGATCAGCTTCTCAAAATAATGATCAAAAAGGTAGAAAAATCTTGGTTGCTCTTGGGTGGACAAGCAGCATTGACAGAAATAGAGTATTGATGTAAATTTATTGTTTATGATATGAAAGTGCTTTTTTTTGTACTTGTATAAAGGTGAATTTTCATTGAGGCTTTACTAAGCTGCCTTATTCATCACTCAGCAGTACTAAATGTAGATTTTGTTATTTGTTAATTCTCACCTTTGAAATAGGATAAACACTAAACAGGGGTACGGGGAAAATTAGATTAAGAGCATGATATCAGAAAGAAATAATATAGCTATGCAATGCCTTCAAGTTGGCTTTTTAATTTACTTTCCTGTTTTATATCAATTTACTCAATTCTTTTCTCTTATCTAATAAAATTTGAGGTTTTTGGATTTTCTCCTAAGTTAATTCTTTGAAATTATATATTGATGTGCTAGGAAATAGTCTTGGTTGTACAATGGTAGTGATAACAAATAAAAATGGATTATTGTTACTCTAAGAAGGATTATTGCAAAAAGGAAAGAGCAACTTACACTTATTTGGGGTCTTCTCCTTTACCTTCCCAACTTGAGTACAATTTTTTTCGGATTTTCTACAAATTCAAAATTTACTAAATAGCTAAAAAAACACCTTTTAACTATTATTTTATCACTATGGAAGAGGTAGTATTTGTGACATAAAATCAAAACATGCTCTCTTTGTACATTAATAAACACGAAGTAGTAGTTAGCCTAATGGTAATCGTTTGAGTCACATAACCTTTTTAAATCGCGATATTTATGAGATAGTCTTATAAGGCTATAAGCTACTCATCTTACTTCCTTTTTTTAATTTTTTTTTTTTTTTTTTTACCTATTCTATTGACTTGGCTAATTTTTCAATGCATCGTTTTGACAATTAATAACTTTGGTAAAATCCAAAGTCAATAAAAGAGGAATTTACAATTTATTAAGGCATTTCTTGTTAGATTAGAGTTCTTATCATATCCCCAAAAAAAAAACACTTAGCATGGCCAAATTAAAAAAAGGTTTGAATCTGGATTGGACTCGGACAAAGGCCCTTTTGTAGCCCAACTCATGCTCCGTAAATCCCAATAACCTAATTCATTTAGAAGCGCCGACCCAACTCAACTTAAAACCCCTAATTTTTCCTGCCTTATAAAAACTCAACTAATCTCCTCCTGCCATTCATCAGTCGTCTTTCTCTCTCCTCGCTTCCCCATTTTCTAATCTAGGGTTTATGTTTATCCCCAATTCCCTTTTTTCTTTTTTGTTTTTTGTTTTCTGAAAATTTGTTGAAAAATTAATCTGAAATTTGAAGGCTTCATTTGTTGGTTGATGCGGATAATATATATTCCCTTTGACTCGTTCCCTTGAAGCAACATCAATTTGTGCTGTTTTCTCTTTTTTTCTTCTTCGATTTTTTCCCAGCGATGGAGATTCAACTGAGAACAGCTAAATTTCTCATATTTTTTATTTAATTTTATCAGTTTTTTTGGGCAATGAAATTTGCGGTGATGAGTCAATACAGACCTGTAATGATATGCGGAAATGATCGCAATTCATTATGAACATCTAAGGGACTGAGTTTTTTCCTTGCCTTTTTCTTAACAAAAAATTTCTTAATCTTAATTTTTTAGATTGATTGTTAATTAATTATATAATTTGTATTAATTTGGGTTCAGTTTGATTAGGCCTAAAAATGGTGCTAATTATATAAATGGCATTGTTTTTATAATGTGAATCCTAAATTAATTTGTTCCCCTCGCTATCCGGTGTAAAATTTTCCATGCTACATTTGGACGTTGGGTAACTACAATTTTTTAACCAATTATGTTTGTTTTAAAAAAATCAATTTATAAGAAAATGATTTTTATGAATGGTTTTTAAATTAATGATAGATTTAGGTAAAATAAATGATAAATGAATTCGGGCTTTTTTTTTGTAAAGGCCTCAAGCTGAGGCCCAGTAGAAACATAGGTTTTGGCCCATATATCGGGACGCTTTGATCATTTCGACGTTATATACTGACATGTTAATCTTAATTCATCACCAATTTGTATTAATATTATTGTTAGAGACTTGATTAAAACATTGATGATGCTCGTGACAATTTTTGTCTAATACTCTTGTGAAGTTTACCAATAAATTATTGGTGATAAAATTATTATAATTAATTTGTCCAGCTTAGTTTAATATGAGCATCATGAACCCGAACATTGAAGCAAATTGAACCCTTTGTGGCTGGCCTTGTGGAGTAAAAACTCTTTGATCTATAGACTTGTAACACTAACCTTATGAGTTATGTTATGACAATGGGAATACAAGACTACTACATCGACTCGGTTTAAACTTAAGCTTAGTTTGTTGGTCAAATTAACGTAGGTCAACTCCAAATTTTTTAGTTTTGCAAAAGTAGGTGAAGATGGGCCTGAACTAAGGTATCTAACCACTTGAAAAAAAAAAATAAAAAAAAATTCTCAAATAATTGATGGAGCCATAAATAATCAAATTTTTTACTAAGGTTTTCCGGCCCAATATCCTAAGATGTATTTTTTATATTGAGTTGAACAATTTGAAACATTTTTTAGATTTTAATTCAAAACATTTGGTACTTGAGTACTTAACAGTTAACAGCTAGTGAACTTCTTGCGTGGACCACATGTAAAACTAACGTTATTTGGAACATAGTAACCGTAATTTTAATATAGTATGATTAGTATCCTTATTTTTTTAACATAGTAACCTTTATTAAAACTTGTGTGACCTTAAATGTTATTTTTGTTTACGTCTCAAAAAATTAACATTTTAAGCTTTTATAATGTTACAATCGCTTTTATTTTAACATAATAACTTTTATTTTAATGTAGTGACATTTTTTATTAATAAAACAATCATAGTATCTCTAATATTAGTAATCCACGATAAATTTGTGTGAACCAGGTCCATTTAAGAATTTTTGTAACAACATGCTATAGCCAAGAAATTTCCTATGCAATAATCTCAGGATCCGGAACCGAAACCTGTTGCAACAGGTTCCTAAAAGTAGGAACTGGAACTAGAACCTGTTCAACATGTTCCTGAAAATTGGGATTTGAAACCGTAACCTGTTTTTCAAATTAAACTTAATAGTTACTTGATAAATTGTTACAAAATTTTTAAAAAAATAAAAATAAAATGGATGTTCACAATAAAAGCTTACAACTTTATTACAAATATAACAAACCAACATTGATTGTCTAGTATATTTAATATAAAATTACAAATACTTAAATTAATACCATTAATTAAACCTGTAAGAGTAAGATGAAAAATGAATAAGAGGAGGGAGAGAGGTAGGTGACGGCTTGTGTAGGAAATGAGAAATGATGTATGGTTCTGATTTCGTATACCCTGGAGGGAACCTGCACTAACAGGGTACCCTACAGGTTCCGAGTCCAAAATTTTATTACCCGAATCCGGAACCTGTTGCAACAGGTTCCCAATTTTATTACTCGAAACCGAAACCTAATTGCGATTCCAAGCAAGTTCCAGTTTCAGTTCCAGATCAAGGTACCCTGAAATTTCGCTCACCCCAGTACTAACTTCTAAGTCTTACTATGTCTATGTGAGATACAATATGTATATCCTTTCCAAAAAAATTAAAAATAAATAAATATAATTTGTACATTTTAGTTAGTTATATACTTGTATTTCATTAGATCATAAATCAATGATTATAGATAATTATTAGTGTTTGACTTGACTAAATAACATTTGAACCTTCAATCATTATTCCAAAATTCTTACTTGTTTCACTGTTTGTCTATCTTTTTTTTTTTTTTTTTTTTTTTTTTTTTTGTATACGAAGTTTGTCTATCTAATTAGGTCTAGTTAATTACCACAATATCAAATTAGGCTTAGTTGGTACCTACGTGGCCCATGATGATTCATTCTAAAAGTCTTATTAAAAGACTTATAAAAAAAAAATGTGAAAACGGAAAAAAAAAAAAAATCGAGAGATGAAGTGAGTATTAGTTAGAGTACTAATTTCATATTCAAAACTAAAAGTGACAAAGCGAGTATAATTTTTTTTTTAACTTGTATATTTGAATAGATGTTACCTTATACTAAAATCTGTTTAGTGTAAGTGGGGTTAGTAAGAGAGAAAAATAGTAAAACATAAATAGGTTCTTACAAAGTGTTGCAATTATTGTGAAATGAATGGAAAAAAAAAATTGTTACAATTATTATGAAATGAATGGAGTACTCCGTATAAGTCTAATGAAAAAACTCTAGTCATGCATTATTAGTTTATTACTAATCATGGACTGAATAAAGTACGTTATAAGTAACTTTATGTATTCCATTGCCTCATTTACCATTCTACGAATGATTAGTCTCAAAAGTCCAAGTTATTTCAACTAATCCCGTGTTAGGGGTTAAGCCATATACAAAGACAAATTAGTAGAGATGTAAACGCAACGGGCAATAAAATATCAACACAAAAAGGACAAAGAAAAAGCTTAGTCCTGAATTTATAACGGTAAGTTTGTAGCAATTTCTAGGATTTAGTCCAATCATAATCATGGAAGAATCTAATCATACAAAAAACATAAATTTGAAAACAGGTTTTTGCCAGCAACACAAACAATAATTTGTTTATATTCTCTCTCCTACTATTATTCTTACTCGTATTTGTATATATTCACTCTTTCCTTGAGACTTTAGTTTCCTAGGATAGGATGTGTGTTCACTACACTACTTAACGTGTTTGACCCTCTATTTTAGCCGTTGCTCTCAAAATGTTGTCATTTAACTACCTTTTTTTTGTTGCTTATTATGCCTCTTCTCTTTCTTCACATTAACACCTTAATAACCTCATTTTATATGATTTTCGGTTTCAATAAAAAAAAAAATCAATTAATAATTATCATGATTAATGAAAAATAATTTAACTACCTTATTTCCTGTTATTTTCTGTGTTAATATATAAAAAAATTATATATAAAAAAATTAATTAATAATTGTCATTACTAGTGAAGATAATGTGAAGAGTGATGCTGGTAAGCTGATTATTTGTTACCCGTAATACATAGCATGACAATTCAGAAAGATGTACGAGTATTTGTATCCAAATATAATTCTTAAAGAAGTTTAGTATTTCATATAACATAGGATTATTGAAATTGATCTCTTAAATTGCCATATTTTGATAGTATTTTTCTTCTACCAAATCTCAAATCTAATGTGATATCCGTACATAATGATTGATGAATCTAAAGCTAAAGGAATCGTACATTGACATAAGGCAATTTAACATGTAGATTGTGCAAGCAGAGGAAAGAGTTTGTGACAAAGCAATTTATATTTTACAGTGATATCGAAATTCGAACATACTTAAGAAAAAACAATTTATAAAAGTACATTCAAATTCAAACAACTTGAAAAGTTGTCCAATTGATTTAGTGAGGCATATAGAACATCACAAAATTCATTAAATCTAACTAAATCCATCTAGATATAAATAAAGATGATTGAATTCACACTTTAAAAAAACCATCCACAATATGGAGTACCATTCTCATCATCATGGAAGTCAATTACCAAAGATACACTTCACAAAATATCAATCTATTTATTTATTTTTTTTTGGAAAAAACAAAATATCAACCTTTTCCTTAATCCATAAACCCCATTATAAACTTTCCTAAGTTATTAGTCATATGACTCATATCCAAGGACATATAGAGGAAACTTCATACACCCAAACACCCAAACAAAATAGGTGTTGATATTAAATTAATGAATTAATCAATCAAAATCAATCAATAAAATTTTGGTCAAACTTTCAAAATGAGCATCTTAAAACACACCATCAACACGAACACAATTATAACTTGACCCCACTATTGACTTCCTTTATTCTTCTTTCCCTTAAATACACCCTTTTATTCTCTCACTTCTTTTTCTCACACAACAATTACATTCATTTTCTCTCTCAAACAACAACAACAATTTCACAATTTACAAGAAAAAAAAAACAATTTCAATTAAATTTGAAAAAAAAAAAATCAATAATGTCAGTAGTAGTGTCAAATTCCCCTGTTTTTTCACCATCTCATCACAAATCAATCTTCTCAAGTTCAACACTTTCTCCTCGATCTCGTGTTTCTCCATCATCGAACAGTTTCCGGCAGAGTTACGGCGGAGATGGGGCGGCGTCGACGTCGGGATATTCTCCGGCGACGGCGGTTATGAAGAGAAAAAGGCCGGCGAGATTGGATATTCCTATGATGAATATGGGTTTTGGAGCTCCGGTGACGCCGAGACCTGTGCAGGAATCAATGGTGGAAGATGATTTTGATGGGTTTTACTCTGTTTGTTGTAAGAAAGGTAGGAGAGCTGTTATGGAGGATCGATTTTCTGCTGTGCTTGATATTCAGGGTGATTCTAAACAGGTAATTTTTTTTATTTAATTTGTGGGGTTTTTTTTTTTGGGATTAATTGGGATTTTGATGATTTGTTTTGATTTTATAATGATTAATTGATGTTATGTACTTTATTATGGAACTTAATTGGGGAAATCTGGGTTTACATGATTTTGGGTGGAAAATTTTTATCAGAAAGTTTGGATTTTTGGACTTGTATGCTCAAAAGAATTTAATTTTATTGGTATTGTGGAACTTAATTGAAATCTGGGTTTACATGAATTTGGGTGGAAAACCCTGAAAATTTGGATTTTCATTGATTAAACCCTGAAAATTTTGGGTGTTGGGTGTTTGGAATTTGGGAGAGTTTTTGAGGAAAGATATGGAAGAAAAACTCAATTTGTAATTTTGATGTTGAATTAAGGAGAATAGGAATTTATGAAAATTTTGATGGTTTATGCACTTGAATTGGTTCCTTCAAAAGTATAATACAGTACCTTAATAATTATAGTAGATTGCTATCTTTTAGATGGATGTTAAGCTAGTTATTTGGATATGGCTTGTTATTAAGCTCTTGAATTGGTTATTGAGTGAAATCTTGACATATTTTGCTGCAATTTATGTGTTGTGTAGGCATTCTTTGGTGTATTTGATGGTCATGGTGGTGTTAAAGCTGCTGAATATGTAGCAGAAAACCTAAACAAAAATATAATGGCCGAAGTAGTTAGGAAGGACGAGGAGAACACCGTTGAGGAGGCTGTTAAACACGGCTACTTGAAAACAGATTCCGACTTTTTGGAACAAGAGTTGCTCGGTGGTTCGTGTTGTGTTACAGCCTTGATTACCGAGGGTGACCTTATCGTGTCTAATGCTGGTGATTGTCGGGCTGTCTTAAGCCGGGGTGGTGTGGCTGAGGCACTCACTACTGACCATAGACCCTCGAGGCAAGACGAGAAGGATCGAATAGAAGCCTTGGTAAGAATTCTAACTCCATTCATCATTATCATTCATTTATTTGCTGGGATTTATCTCCTTGGCACTAAATTGGTACTTTTTATGTGAATAATCGACTTATGGATGTAAAATTGATTGTTTTTATAGGGTGGATACATTGATTCTTACAATGGTGTTTGGAGAATACAAGGATCCCTTGCCGTGTCTAGAGGAATTGGAGACAGGCAACTCAAGCAATGGGTGATTGCTGAACCTGAAACGAAGGTTCTCAAAATCAAATCCGATGATGAGTTCTTGATCCTAGCATCCGACGGTTTATGGGATAAGGTACTGCGTCTCAAACTTATTACTCATGTCAACTACTGCATTGCCAATCAAGCTGGTTCTGTTTTTAATGATTTATCTGGCATAAAAAATTATTGCTGTTTCAATCACTAAATCTTGTTCTTTATTCAATTGGTACAGGTTACTAATCAAGAAGCTGTAGATCTTGTCCGACCTTTGTGCACTGCAAGTGACAAAATTCAGCCACTAGCAGCTTGTAAGAAACTGATTGAGTTATCTGTTTCGCGAGGCTCTTTAGATGATATTAGCGTAATGATAATCCAATTGCCGCAATACATGAAGTAGCTCACCCTGACTTAGAACGACGAGGCAAGCAAACTCTATAACAAAGTTGAGATACAAATAGCTGGATTATACACTGCTTGTAGACTTGTAGTATAGCTTTGTAGCGAGATTTCGCAATCTGTTTCTCAGTTGAGATGATATAGATAATACTTTTATAAGCGATTAGTAGGTAGGAAGTTCATAGTTAATCTAATCACAGTACTATTCTTTAGGGGAATTCATGCCCTTCCAGATGTAGGCATAAATGACCATATTCTTTGCATAATTCATTGTAATAACAACTCAATAAAGTTGCACTAACAGATTCTTTTGACACATACAAAATTCTGCCTCTCCTGAACTATCTTTTATTATGTTCTGTCCATTTATATTGTCATTGTATTACCTTCCATCCATGCACGGCGATGGCTTATTTTTATTTCTCAGCAATATTCCTATGCCAAATCGAGGTTTACTACTCTAGTATGATGTATTACCTTCCATCCGCGGTGTTTCTTGTTGTTGTAAAGTGAACACTCTGCATTGTACTTCCATGGTTTTCTTACCCTGCAATGTGTTTCTTTAATAAGGAGTGTTTATTTTGACAGCTTACCTGTATTATTAAGTTCCCAATCAAATATAGGCTTCTTGTGAGCAAATTTATACAAGGAAACATTATTCTGCAAGATCTGAAATAATAAGCTGGTATAAGAAAAATTTAAAGCAATAAAAGAGGAGCAACAGGTTCTGGCAATTTTATGCGCTCCTTGGACACCTGCTGTACTGACTTTGAGAGCAATGCGTGAGTGAAGAAGGTCCAGATAAAGTCTTGATTTCTTCAATCGTCCCACTTAATATGTATGTCTATGTTGATGCTACTAACCCTGCAGTAAGTGAGCTAAATTGGTAGAATCAACATGGATAACGATATAAGATAAAACACATTCATTATGGACGAATATGGGACGAGCACGAGTGAAGTCTGAAGTGGGATTATGCATTACAGAGCGCAGGACCAAAGAGCTAGCTAAAACTCAAATGGTAACTCTCTCTCTCTGCCCTTTTTTTTACTCTAATTCCGATGGCTATAATAGTCTGTCTCTGTCTTTGTTAGAGGCATGTTTTTATTAACTTGAGGTTGATTTTCCTTGTCCTGTGTGTATAAATTTTTTGGCATATATACTTTTCTTAATTCTCAAGGGTGTTGAGGACATTAAGCACTGATATGACAATTGTATATCAGTAATCCCGTGTTTTCTTGTAGTGTATATGCTATCTTGCTCGAGGAGATCATAGATATGCTGCACCACTATCTATGATGAGCAAGCTGAATTTTAAGTTTTGCACAATAGGATTGATATTGCTTTTAACCTCTCCATCAAATGTTATGGAAGCCTTGTCGCTTTAGTATAGCAGTGTTGTCGTGTTGAGTACTCAACTTCTTATGATAAGAGATTATATCAGACTGTAATTTATGAGATTGATTCTGATGATCCAGTGATGCTGATGCTGACAGAAAATGGTTCGTTAACTCTATCAAAATTTCTGGTTTCTGTGCCTATAATATGCTCTCTTAGCTGTTGTTGATGATTCGATGACAACTTACTTCTATAAGGCATTGGTGTAGCTGAGTTGCAGGGCAGGGCCGAGTTTAATGATAACAGTCAAGCTTCTAAGGTAATTCGAGTAGGCGATTATTGTTATAAACGGAATTGCACAAATAAAATAGTAAGAACAATGTTACCGAGAATAAGACTGAGTCGCGGACTATGTCGCTCTCTTTAGAACATTCGCGGTACTGCCTCAAACTTGTGCAAGCAGCTTGTACCAAACCGGATGCCCCCAGGATAAAACAGTCTTTCACAAGTATAAAATACCGGCGGTTTTGCACCGAACCACCGGTCAACGGAACACCAGAAAATCAGAAAGAAACTGCTCGACTGTTTTGAGAGGAAGAGAAAATATATTTTGCAAAGTGGTTTTCTGTATTTTTTTTCTTCGTGTTTTTAAAAACAAAGCTGGAACCGTCCTTTTATAGGTAAAGATACGTAACAGCTTAAGCATGAAAACGGGAGAAAGATTAGCAACGTTTACTGCAATTAGTGTATTCGTTAAGCAAGAATCAAGGCATTAAATCAGTGTAACGGTGCAACGTTTAGCAGTAAAACAGCAACGAGAATCAAGCAATGTAACGGAAAAATTTAAACCAAAACAGTAAAACGTTTTGTAACTGAATATTAATCAAACCGGTAACAAAAATTAAGTTTGTTTAATAACCCAAACCCAAACCCGACCCAGCCCAGCCCGGCTCGGCTCGGTTCGGTTCGGCGCGCGTGTGTGTGATATATGGTTTACCATATAGGTCCTCCCTCTCCACAAAATGTGGGTAGCCCAAGGGCCACACCCCTTTAGCCCACTCTCTATATTATAAAGAGAGTAAAACTCTCATTTCCCACCAATGTGGGACTTTGAGTTTTTTCACAAAATTCACACACTACACACTTGTTGTTCCAACAATCCCCCACTTGAATTTTTTGAAAACATTTTCGAGCAGAATCCATACATATATATGTTGCGCATAAACAGAAGTGTTTTTCAACTTGAACTTCTACGTAGTGAGTACGATTCAGATTCAACAAGGGTGACTCGAAGTTTTGAACCCTATCTCTGACAAAGTACCACACACAACCTACTCTTGGTGTTGTTCTAGACCCGTGCTATTTCGGCCATGCACGTCTATCCCAGTGTAGTGAATGCTCTAGAAATGCTGCCACACATTTCATAGGAAGCGGCCTAACTTCCACATTCACATAGGTGAATCTATCAAGAGTACTCCTGTAGCTTGGTACTCCACTCCAAATTGGAGTATAGATTTCATTAAGAGTTTCTATTAACTCATCCTTGATCGCTTCAGGAAATTATGTCTTTTGAACATATTCAACTCATATCACACCATAACTTGTTATTACCCTTTGAACCTATTTCTTGGGATCTCCAGTTCATAGGTTGGGTTACCATTATGTGTGGTTCATTTCAATGGCAATAGTCCCATTTTCTTAGAGGAAAAATGGACTTTCTCCCTAGCTAATCCTTTCGTCAAAGGATCAGCCAAGTTATTCTCAGTGCGTACGTGATCCACTCTAACAGCTCCGATAGAGAGATATTCTCTCACAGTGCTGTGCTTACGACGTATTTGTCGTCTCTTACCGTTGTAATAACGGTTCTGAACTTTTGCAATAGCCGCGGTACTATCGCAATGGATCAAGACAGCCGGTAATGGCTTTTCCCATAGGGGAATTTCACCTAGCAGGCCTCTTAACCAACCTGCTTCTTCACTAGCCGTAGCTAGTGCTATCATTTCTGACTCCATGGTGGACTGAGCCAAAATAGTCTGTTTCTTAGACTTCCAAGATACAGCTCCACCGGCTATAGAAAAAATATATCCACTAGTAGCCTTAGAGTCATCTGATAAGGTGTTCCAGTCAGCATCACTATAGCCTTCTAGTACAGCTGGAAACCTTTCATAATGCAACCCTAGGTTCATGGTCCTCTTAAGGTATCTCATGACCCTTTCAATAGCATGCCAATGCTCATTACCAGGACAACTAGTAAACCTGCCTAACAATCCCACGACATAGGCAATGCCGGGTCTAGTACAATCAGTGGCATACCGAAGGCTGCCAATGATGCTCGCATAATCAGATTGCCTTACGGCATCACCAGTGTTCTTAAATAATTTAACACTGGAGTCATAAGGTGTATTAGCAGGTTTACAGTCAAAGTAACCATATTTCTTTAGGATTTTCTCAATGTAATGAGATTGATCCAAAGAAACTCCATTTTCTGTCCTAGTAATCTTAATTCCAAGGATTACATTAGCCTCTCCTAGGTCTTTCATGTCAAACTCAGCATTCAACAATAGCTTTACATCATTCACAGCATGAATGTTCGAGCCAAAAATTAACAAGTCATCCACATATAGACAAATTATAGTGCATATGTCATTCTCAAATTTTACATATATGCATTTGTCACTACCATTTATCTTAAAACCATGTGAGATGACTAAGTTATCAAGTTTTTCATGCCATTGTTTAGGTGCTTGTTTGAGACCATAAAGAGATTTATCTAGCTTACATACCAGATGCTCTTTTCCTTGAACAACGAATCCTTCCGGTTGATCCATGTAGATTTCTTCTTCCAATTCACCGTTCAAGAATGCAGTCTTTACATCCATCTGATGTACTACAAGATTAAAAACAGAAGCAAGAGATATTAGTACTCTAATAGATGTTACTCTAGTTACAGGTGAATAGGTATCAAAGAAATCAACATTCTCCCTCTGTCTGTAGCCTTTAGCTACCAAACGGGCTTTGAACTTATCAACGGTCCCATCAACTTTCAGATTTCTTTTTAGGACCCATTTGCAACCAATTGACTTGCAGCCTGGTGGCAACTCAGTTAGATGCCAAGTTCGATTAGACTCAAGTGAGTCCATTTCGTCGTTCACGGCTTCTTGCCATAAATCTGCATCAACTGAGGTTAGACCTTCTTGGAGGGTAGAAGGATCCTCCTCTACATTAAGAACTACAAAGTCTGGGCCGAAGTCTTTTGCTACTCTAGCCCGCTTGCTCTTTCTTAGTTCGGGTTCAGCATCCAATTCTTGTGAGTTAGACCTGACTTTAGGAATAATAGAGGTGGACGAACCCCCACTATTTCTAAGGAAACCTGTCCTCATAAAAATCAACATCATTAGATTCAATAATTACACGAGCATTTAAATCAAAGAATCTATATGCCTTACTGTTAATAGCATATCCAATGAATACACATTCATAAGCTCTACTAGCTAATTTAACTCTTTTAGGATCGGGAATCCTAACATATGCTAGACAACCCCAAGTTCTGAAATAAGAAATGTTAGGTCGTTTATTACGAAGTATTTCATAGGGAGAAACCTTACTCTTAGTCTTTGGAATACGGTTTAAGACATAACAAACAGTTAGTAGAATTTCACCCCACCAATGATCAGCAGCACCAGAATATAAGGAAATAGCAACTACTAATTCTGTAAAGGTCCTATTTTTCCTTTCAGCCTTTCCATTCATTTCTGGGGAATAAGGAGCTGTCCTTTCATGTATGATACCATGTGAATTATAAAATTCTACAAAAGCATCAGTATCATACTCAGTTCCACGATCACTTCGTAATCTTTTTATTTTCTTGTTAAACTGATTCTCAAACTCTGTTATAAACAACTTAAACATTTCAAAAGCATCACTCTTATTTTTCATCAAATAAATACAAGTATAATCAGAACAATCATCAATAAAGGTGTTAAA